CCGATGGCATTACGTGGGTGTAGTCATTGTCTCTTTCTAAGGGTTGGTTTCCATTAAAGGGTTTCCTCGTCTTTTAGTGAAGAAGACATTGGATCCCAGCGTCCTTTTGTATGCCCGGATACCACATCGATCAAGGCCCCTGATGGCGAGGGCTGTCCACGATGTGGCGGCGCCGTCTTTGCTGCCGAACTGCAGCTGTCCAAGGGAAAAATGTGGCACAGGAAGTGCTTCAACTGTGCCAGGTGCCATAGACCCCTGGACTCGGTGCTCGCCTGCGACGGACCGGATGACAATATCTATTGCAAGCTCTGTTATGCAAAGCTCTACGGCCCCAAGGGATTTGGTTATGGACACACCCCCACTCTGGTGTCCACCAACTATGACTACACGCCCAGCTGGTAAGTAAAAGTTTTGAAATAATCCGATAAGTTAGATAACTCCAGGGTCTAGTTGAGTTACTTTCAAAGCTTGTTATATAAACTGAAGTAAACTTCGTGGTCCTATATCTAAGTTCTATATCTAGATATATGTGTGAAAAGTGCTTCCTTTTTATACCCTTGCAGGGTATTATAATTTCAGTCAGAAGTTTGCAACGCAGTGAAGGAGACGTTTCCGACCCTATAAACCATATGTATTCTTGCTCTGCATTAATATGCGAATCTTTCTAGATATGTCCGGAAGAAATCGATTTTTTGGCCATTTTTGCAAAATTTTATAAGGGGTTACATCATTAAAATGTTTGATTTTGATAAAAAATTGAATATTCAAAATTTTAAAATGAAGTATGCAGATTTATTAACTGTAGAAAATCTTGCACAGAACAGTTTTCCGATTTAAAATTAATGCTCTTTTGGCCGAGTTATGTTATTTTTAATTTTAAAAAAATCAATAAGTTTTTTGATATAAAAAATCAGATTTTATAATACAAAATAATATTTTTCCAAGTCAAGGAATCATTTTCGACCCCATAAACCATATATATTCTTGATCAGCATTAACATGCGAATCTTTCTAGACATCCCGTAAGAAATCGATTTTTTGGCCATTTTTGCAAAATTTTATAAGGGGTTACATCATTAAAATTTTTGATTTTGATAAAAAATTGAATTTTCAAAATTTTTAAATGAAGTATGCAGATTTATTAACTGTAGAAAATCTAGCACAGAACAGTTTTCCGATTTAAAATTAATGCTCTTTTGGCCGAGTTATGATATTTTTAATTTAAAAAAAAATCAAGAAGTTTTTTAATATAAAAAATCAGATTTTATAACACAAAATAATATTTTTCCAAGTCAAGGAATCATTTTCGACCCCATAAACCATATATATTCTTGATCAGCATTAACATGCGAATCTTTCTAGACATCCCGTAAGAAATCGATTTTTTTGGCCATTTTTGCAAAATTATATAAGGGGTTACATCATTAAAATTAGCAAAAATGGCCAAAAATTTTGATTTCTTACAATTTTAAATTTGGTATGCAGTTTTTTTAAATTAATAAAAACTAACACAAAACTGCTTTCCGAATCGAAATTAATGCATTTTTGGCTTAGTTATGATATATTTTAATTGTTACCTGCGAGGGTATACAAAATTTGACTGGCCAAAGTTAGCTTTCTTTCTTGTTAAGAACGAATTTCTAAATGTATGGATGAAAAGTGGCTTCTTTAAGTCGATTTTAGGTAACAATTTTTAAGAGTGTAGATAATCAAAGATCAGAAACATGAGTGTTCTGTCGTGCAATATCCTCCTTACGGGGTTTCAAACATTTGTTAGGATCATATCTCTAACAAAATCTATAATCTCTCAATCTTTCAGCTGGGGATCCATCGATCGTAATGGCCAAAAGTCAGAGAACGGATGTCCCCGTTGTGGTTTTATGGTTTTTGCGGCCGAGCAGATGAAGAGCAAAAATAATGTCTGGCACAAGCTGTGCTTTTACTGCTCGGAGTGCCGAAGGTATTTGGACTCGACGAACTTGAACGATGGACCCGACGGCAACATATATTGTCGATCCTGCTACGGAAAATTCTACGGACCCAAAGGCGTGGGCTATGGAATCGGAGCTGGCACACTGACAATGGCTTAAACTTACGACCAAAAAAGAGTGTTTAAGGGCTGTTCCCGGGTGTACAATAAGCTCCAAAGTGTATATCAGGTGCATCGAGTCCTTAAACGCCCACATTTTTGAGGTTGACGACCAGGCGTAGTATTGCATTTCAACAAATAATGGTTTAACATAGCTCCAAATGACATTTAATTCAAAAACCTTGAAAACTTAAGAATAGTGGCGAGTGACTCTGTGGTGATTAGTATGATAATTGTTCATATCTCGAAATTAAGCAACGAACCGACGTTCTCAGCTCGGACTGAAACTTTATGCTTTGAACTGCGAAAACGAAATGACTTTATTCGAAAACTGTATGTATGGCGGTTGTAATATAACAAGATTTATATCCTATAAGTTACGAAACAACGACTAAAAAACGATCAACTATAATCTCTTTGATTTATTGGTTCCTTTTTTGTTTGTAGGTATTTATTTATATATGTAACGGTAGGACAGATTATTGACAGAGGGTCTAAGCAGGGCTCCTTTCTATTCAAAATATATTAACGATTATGGAGAGAGTACATAATATTGGAATGGTCGTTACGATCACCAGCGAGCCTCCCGACATTGTGGAATTGCAGCAGTCGGCGGAGTAGTACAGTATCTTGGGATACAGCGTTTTCCAGAAGTGAATCCTCTGATTGTTGAGCAAGTTGTCCGTGTTGAAGGCCTCGTCGATCAGGAGCACGGAGTCATTGTTCGGGGTCACGGCATTCCACTTGATGTACACGTTGGACTTTGTGGGATTCGATGTCTTGGCAAAGTTTGCCCACAGGGTCATAATTATGTCCGAATTTCGCTTATCCGACGACTTCCAATCGACCATATTGGTCATATACGGATTTCCCCAGACAAACACCTGATCGAAATACTTGGGCACGCTTATCCAACTGGGCAGATCCTGGAGCACCGACCTCGGCCGCATCTTGAAGAGGTAACTATAGACGGTGCTGTAATTGCTTATCATGTCGGCGAAGGATTGCATCGGCGTTATGTAGAACTTTTCGGTGTGCGCACTTATTATGTGCTTGTTGGCCTTCTTTACGTCCTGGTCCGACTCATTGGCGTACATGAAGTTTATGGCGTCCGTGATGAGCTCGTAGTTGGAACACCACTCATAGTTCCTCACCAGCTTGTGCATATCGGTCACGGCTATGTCGCTAAAGAAGCCCTCCGTATCTGCTGCACTTATCTCAGTGTCCAGGTTATCCTTGAAGAGGGTCAGCACCTCCTCCATGTCGGTCACCCCGATGATGACAGGCACCTTGTGGTAGCTGCCCTTCTTGAACAGGATCTCGGGCTGATTCTCGATGAACGGATACGAGGTGTTACTCAGGCCAAAGTCCACCACTGGACCCCAGCTCACCGAAGGCAGGTTCTCCGACAGCCGCTTGGCGTCCACCCTCTTCAGGCACTGCATGAACATCGATGTCGGTCTACGGGGGCAGCCGAACACGCTTGAAACCTGGTCCAACGATCCCTCATACTCGTATGGCATTTTGACCGCGTTCAGAGGATTACCCGACATAATGATGGCCTTGTGGAAGCCACCCTTCGACCACTCGCCCGAGGTCATGTGCAGCGCCACGCTAGTGGCACCCGCATCGTGACCCATCAGCGTAATCCGATTGGAGTCTCCGCCGAACAAGTTGATGTTCTTCTTGACCCAATACAGGGCTGCCGACTGATCCATCAGGCCATAGTTCCCCTGGGCCTCGCCGTCGTCGGTTGTAAAAAAGCCGAATATGTTAAGGCGATACGAAAAGGTGACAACAATAACTTTCTGCTTGAACACCAACTGGAAGGGGTTCACATCGGCGGGGCTGCCAGTGGAAAAGTCACCGGAATGGACCCACACAACGACGGCATATCCATTAATTTCTGGCAATCCTGAAAGGAAAAAGGGAATTACGAAATTCAATAATTGGAAATGAATAATTACAAATCTCTATGGAAAGTGAAACTCTTAAGAATATTCAAAATTATAATTTTTCATTTATTTTTCTTAATAACTTAATTGCTAAAATGATTTTTTCTACTCACCATCAGGTACAAAAACGTTCAAATACAAACAATTCTCCTCGTACTTCCTTCCACCGTCATCCGAATTCGTTTCGGAGGATATTATTTTCAGGATTTGCTCCGTCTCTCTGCCTACGGAGGGCATAGGATTTTGCCAACAGTCCGGAGCGAACGAGGTTGCGTTGAAAATCCCCTTCCACGGTGTTAGTTCGATATCCGGAGGTTGAAATCTTCTGGCATGTGCGTACCGAATGCCCAGATAAGCTTTAACATTTTGCGTTCGAAACATTTTCAAATAGGTACCGGAAATAACGCCGTTTCCGGGTATATGTATAAATGGCGCGTCCACACATTGCACATATATAAAGCCATAACTACTGACTAGGTGAAAAAATATAGCTAAATTAGCTAGGAAGTCCCTTCTTTTGCACTTCATGGCTCGTCCGATTCCTTCACATCTTTCTGCGTTTTGAACTAAGGCGACACACTGTTCGCAATCTTGCAAGGCACGCGAGGCTCCTGGTTGCCATGGCGAAAATACACAAAAAATATTGTTGCTAGGATTTTGTAACTATGGCACTTATCCATCTCTCCTTTCGCGACGGGGCTTGTTTTTATTTATTTAGCCTACGTCACCCATCGGAATGCTGTTAACCCATAGGTGGCCCCTGGCAAATATATCATGTTCATATTTATTTTTTAATTAAACAACAAATAATATTATAAATTAAATCAGTAATAAATGAATGAACCTATGAAAAGGATTGGTTTTCTTCTAAAAAGAGATCTCCTTCGCTTTGAAAAGATCTCTTTCGAGTTTTTAGCAATATTTTATATATTCTAAGTAGAAATATAGGCCAGAATTATGTACCTTTCAGTAATCCAAAGCTTAGCTGTCATTTATTTGGCTTAAATGTAAAGCTTGCCCATAAGCAATTTTAACCCGAAATTCTTTCAAATTTAGCGAAAGACCTAAACATGCCTAGCGAGCCGCAGAAGCCCGAGAAAAAGCCCCCAGTGAAGCGAGAGGCTCCGTCCGAGGAAACTTTAACCAAGGACAAATGCATGGCGGACTTTTGCCTGAAGGGTGGAAGTGGCCTGATAATTGGTGGCGTTCTTACCTTATTCTTAACGCGACCACAAACCTACCCGATGTGGCTGGGCCTGGGGTTCGGATGTGGCTTGGCCTACGACTGTTGCCAGGCGCGTTGGAATCGATCCACTTAGGCAGCAAAAAGTAATATTGAGGTCCGAGCTTTACTACCAAATGGGCTTCTATTAAATTTTTATTGAGAAAACGTTATTGTTTTGGTCAGGTTTTTGCGATACCATCAATGTACAAATGCGATAAATATGTAAATTTCCATGATTAAATCTCTTGTAAAGCGAAATCCTTGAAAAAGTGAATGAATATATCTTTGGGGGAGATTTTTAGGATGAGCTTTGAAAAATATGGCATAAATTGTTTATTGCATTTATAATAGCCAGTTTACGAGTTGCTTTTAATATTTGATTCAAGTTTAACATATTTTAAAAGCATAACCATGTATTTTTCTGCACTCAAAATCGTTTATAATTGGGACCTAATATATTACTATGACTTTAAGTTATTATTAAAAACTCTGCAGCGTTTGGCTTTACCCCAAAATTAATATATGCCAAAGCTGTGGCCTGAAATAGACGGCTTTGTGTCTCTTCAAATTTGGTTTTCATGACCAAGTATTCACCGCTAATAAATTCTTTGCATTTCTTTTTTGGTTTTAGGAGAAGAAAGGCAGAGTTATGATTGGAATGTCACGAATTAAAGTTTAGGGTTTTTTATTTTAAATAAAAACTAACGGTATATAAGCTGTTTTTAATTAATAATAATAATATTCATAATAATGGTATTAAGCTGTTTTTTATCTATTGTACTTAGTACTGTTGTCTCGATGATTTAATTTAATTAAAAATATATTTTCTATTGTAATTTTTTGTATTTTGAGACAAAATTGTTTACTATTTATGGAAAATAATCATAATTTTTAATATGCAAAACTAAGTAAGTAAACTTTATAAACAAAACAGCTTAAAAAACTCCCAACTCGAATCTCTTTTAGTAGGGTGTGCGAGTTAAAGCCAAGCCCAGCTTGGCAGGCAGAGCTGTTCAAACACGCTTACATATTCCCACGGCGTATCCGAGTGGAAAAAACAAAAGTGGCAAGCTGGTAAACTGGTTTTGGAGGCGCCGCGAGTAACCCTACTGCTTTTGGCCAACAACAATTAACGATGTTGACGTTCTCTTCGCGGCGCTGCTGCTGCGCATGTGTGCAGGCTGGCCAGGCCCCATGGTAACTCCGCTCAGAGTCACTTTATGCTTCGCCTGTGGCTCGACAGCGGACCCAGCGCTTGGACCCAAAAGATACAAAGATATATTTCTGCGCCACAGTTTCATAATTGTCCCGACCGCTGGCAGTGTGTGTTTTGATGATTTCGCTCGGAATATGTTTCAATCGAGATATTGATCAGTGCAGTGTCATATCAAATTACGACCTGATTATACAAAAAATGCATTTTTGAATGTACATGCATGTATGTATTGTGGCGAACGTAAGAAATATGAATAGTTACCATTAAAAACGGGTAAAAGTGTAAGTGATTTATGTACTTGTCCCTGTGCCCAAAGAAACTGAATTTATTATATTGCCAATCTGAGCTGTTGTGGGTTTTAAGCCTTTCTCTCTCAACTAAATATGTGTGTTTCTCAATGACCTAATGTTTCATTGTCTTCGTTGTGGGCAAGTGTGACGGTGTGCGTGTGCATTAGTCGAGTGGTTACATACAGTGGGTGAGAAAACTATTCGCGCTCGCTTTTATGCTTTTCAACTACTGCACAATGGAAAAAGTGATCTGACCAGTTCTGGCAGCCCAAGCATTTCGCACAGTCTTTGAACAATCTTTGAACTACCAAAGTGATCTAACAACAGGCAAGCTCTGGCATTCCAAAGGCGCACTACTACCAAAAGTCGTTATTACTGTCTCAATGCCACCAGTTAGCGGTTAATGAATAAACTTTGGGCCAGCAAATTGGACCGAACCAAATGTTGTAACTGATGATCGATCACAATTTGAGCCGCGGAAAGCTAAATATACATAGCTAACAGTATTGTGTACGCGTACATAACATTTTACATAAGCGGCCTACTTACATAGTTAATTCACCGAACGCTCACTTTCAAAGCCCACATGCTGCTGGCCCAGACTGATCACAACAACAAGGCAACAGCAAGTGTCGCAGCGGCCAATTAGATTTTATGGCACTGTTAATTACACCCTCGGCAATAAACTGAGAAAAGCGTAATAATTATAATGGAGTAGACTCAACAGGGATTGTGTGGCATTAATTGCACATTTTTAATACTCAAAAACGGATTTAAATGCAATTAAGATAGCTCTTGGTCCGTTTTAAATTTAAATGTATTACTCTTGATGCCTTTCAGATTTTATAAAATTTTTCTAAGCTTTTGATCTGTGCAACTAAACAAATATGTTACGCTACCTGCTAATACTCTGCGCCCTAAGAAGCGGTAAGTTGGTTTTTTGTTATATTCTTTACTTCCTAAATATTTCCCAAAATATGTCTGTCAGCTACTTGCGATACTGAGTTACTAACTCAAACTGTCTATGGATTCTTGGACTTTACAACTACTATTGGGAATACTGTTATGGTTTTCTCACCACAAAGCTCTCCAACTTTCGGTGAGTTACTTACTCTAGTTAATATTTAAGCAAGAGAAGTAAACATTCCGGTCTCTCATATCCTTCTTCTAGAACTAAAGGTTAACAAAACGCACGAAATTGTAAATATCATAGAAACTAAGCCGAAATCCATTAAAAAGGACAAGGAAAAGGGTGGCATTAAGCCAACGCCTCTGATTGTGACTCACTCGAATGTTAATCCGGAAACGGAAACGTCCCAAATAGAATCGAACAATATAAGCCTCTCGAACTCGCCTATCGAAACCCTATTGAATACCCCCGAATACGATCTGCTCTCCCGCCAACCGGAGCAGTTTGCCGAGGAAACCTATCGGGTGGTTAACTTTAAATCGAAGAACGATGCTGACCGGCAACGAGTCTATCCATCCAAAAAGGAACCCATTCACGGCTACCAAACCAGATCGAGTGAGTTCCGAAGCATTGTAACGGCCACCAAGGATACGGGTAAATTCTCAAAGGTCTCTCAGGTGCATCCCAATTCGAGCACTGAGAAAAAGAACAAGCCGCGACAGACGCGTATAAACAAGCCTGCAGGATCCTCGATTCAACCGAGTAAAACTCTGAGAGATTCTACTTTGCAAACCCAGGCGGCCAGTAAGCCACCGCGCAAGAGCCAGCAAAGCAGAGGAGGGTCAAGCACCAGGAAGTCGTCACGCCCCAAGGGAAAGAGGTAAGTCAACGTTGACGATTGTTTTTCAAGACGATCAAAGTAATAGTTTCGGAGATAAAGCCCTTAGAATTGGCATATATTTAAAAACTCTTCCTTTCATTTATATTTTCAGGAGGAACAAGCACACACAAAGTTCCAAGTTGGTAATAACTCCATCAGTAACAGAAACAACTACCTCTCGTCCCTCATTTCGGACGAAAGCCAATGCTGTACAGGATGAACCAGTATCGATTGTGAGCCCAAACTCATTTAAGCTAAATCGGCGCCCAGGTCGGTGGCAATACAAGTCCTCGCCAAAGCCCAAAGTTAACATTAGGAAGAACGCTAGCCCAAATGTTCCGAGCCCCCTTCAAAATTATACAGCGGCGTCGTCGTCCCTTGATGATATTCCTCTGGAAATCATTACTAATCAGGCTCTAAATAATGGTAGGGATTTGGAGGCATCTGGCTCGCAAAACGGACCTGTTGCGAATAACAATAACGATGATCCTAACTCGAAATACTTTGTACAAACATTGAATGTGGAAATTTCGACACCACAACCATTCATTGACACCTACTATGAAATTGCGACAATTAAGAGTCCTTTTATCTTTCAGGTAATTTGATTTTATTTTTCCTTACAATTTGTTTTGGATAACAAATTCTACTGTATTTCAGGCCGGAGTCGTTAAGAAAACTCGCTTTTTAACCGTAACGTCAACCATTGAGAAAGTAATTCAAGAAGAACACACCAAGGAATACTCCGAGGATGATGGGCCGCTGACAGAGAATATTTTAGAGGCTACTTCCAGCGCCGATGATAAGACCCTGGCGGGTAGTATCACTACATTAAAGCCCATTTATTTGGGGGAGGACACGGAAACACCCAGCCTAGAAACCATAACTGAATCCTTTTCCATAACTCACGTCAAACTGAAGACGCAGATTCTGCCCATCGTTTATGAGAAAAGAAATGAAACAATCCAGGTTACTTTGGTTCAGACTTATGATTACACCAGCCTCATAACCGTAACACAGACAATATCTCCGTTAAGCGAAGACTTCAGTCCTTCGAAGAACTTTAAGGACTTTGAGGGCAGCTTGGACGAGGCTGGATCAGAAATTAACCTAGACCTGGAGTTCGGTGATGAGGATAATACCGGAAAGTTCGATGCAAAAATAAAGCCTAAAAACAAGGTCGAGATTAAGAGCAACCTGACCATCCCATTGATCCCAGAAACTGTAAACTTAAACCTACCGGAAACTCAACTGAACAACTTTATAACGTCAACGCGACCCGTCATAAAACAGGAGACTATCTGGGAGTCCCACGTGGTTCCCTTAGTTAGAGGAACCGAGACCATCTTGAGGACGCTTTCGAAGTCTGTTGGCGTTGTTGAGAAAACCGAATACGTTACGGACGTAACGTCAATTACCATGCCCACATCGCAATACCCATTCTCGATCAATCCATTCTACAACCCATTATTGCCCATCCCCCAACAGCAGTTCATAACATCCACTGAAGTCCAGCAGTCGATGGTGACCGAGACAAGTTCCAAGGTGTTGAAGCTTACGTTTGGTGCAAGAACGGCCTATACTACTATTTTCTCCACCTCTGTTGTCCCAACAGCAGTTACCAAATTAATAACTGCTACTATACCCGGCCAGCCGCCCGTGGGAGCTTTCCCGAACTACTATCCTCCACCATATCCTCCCTTCGGCTACGTTGGCTAATTTTTAGATCCATCTATATAAGCGCGAGCACCTAAACCTAAAAACCATTACTTCAATTGTTATAATTAGAAATTCTGTATTATAATTAAGTTCATGTGCAAATATCGAAAGGCGGTGATACAAAAAAAACAATAGATTTTATTAGATTGTATATGAACTTTGTCGCAAAAGTTGTAAATGTAAATAAATAAATTAAGTCTAAATTTTAAGAATTTAACGAATTTTTTGGATTAATTCATAAGAAAAAAGGTTGTATTTTTGGCTGCTCAGTTAATAAATTTTTTGAACTTTTTAATTTCCGGGATAATATCCCGTTGTATTTTGGTTGGCTTGACTTATCGATTTACCTACAGCTGGTTTCTGATCTTGCCGAGTCAATTTCATTTTGGCTATTCCTTCATTCGTTCATTTCCATCGTTCCAAACGGGAGAGATTTTATATTGATATTTTATTATATATAACATCTTTTTAATTTCTATGAAGTCATGCATTCCATCAACAAATAATTTATTTACAAATTATTTTTTAATAATTATTATTTATTTAAATAGTAGAAAAACTAGCAAACACATTTTTCGCAATAGCTATCGCAAATAGTATAAAAGCAATCGATAGTGCCGGCCAAGCCGCCGATATATCGATAGTGGCATCGATGTTTTGACAGCTCTAGTAAACAGGCGAAAAAAAAATATAATTGTCAATGCGAATAAGTGTATGTTATTTCTATTTAATTTGTATTGTTTGCCGGTGTTGGAGAGGCTCCGGAGTGTACTCGGTCAAAAAATCAATAGGATTTTCCTCCTAAGCTTAAACCCGAACTGCTAATCGTTTTACCTGAAACCCGATGTGTGCATGTGTTTGTGTTCGTGTGTATTTTTATGCACATGCAATTTTATGCTCTTAACCAAGTTTGCAAAAAAAATTAACTCCTCGCGTTAAGTTAAACGAGTGCCTCGGATTATTATTTTTGTTTGCTTTGGTTTTAAAGTGACATTTACGTATTGCGGCAATTGAGCGATTTAACATCCTGCATGTACATATGTACGTATGTATGACTGTATGTTGGCACAATTCCGCGGTGAAACAGACAACCTAAAATCGTGGTGCTCTTTATTCCGGCGCTTGGTAAATATGCAATGCGTCTTAATCACATACACCTCATGGTTAAACAAACATACAGACGACCATTCGCGTTAAGAAGAACGCTTTAGTGCGGTCGTCATGTCGCGGTTATGTTTGCTTGAGATAACCACATCCTTGGATGATGAGTTGGCTCTCAGATCACAGCATCCAAATCAGTTACACTTTAGCCCATGCAGACCCATGTGTGGCAGGTTTCCAGATACCAGCAACCGCCCTCCGTTACATAAACGAATAATCTCTTCATTTATTAAGCAATTTATAAAGTGTGTTCTCTTTAGTTCAGCTTGTATTTGACTTGGATAACCGAACGCCATAAGATAACTCCTTAATCTTTTCACCACAGATTCAGCTCGTGTTTAACAATGTCGGTGCACTACAAATTTAAAAGTACACTCAACTTTGATACAATTACCTTCGACGGACTGCACATTTCCGTGGCCGACTTGAAGCGGGAGATTGTGCAGCAGAAGCGGCTGGGTAAAATAATCGACTTTGATCTTCAGATCACAAATGCGCAGAGCAAAGAAGGTTAGTTTGCCGCAACATTAAAGATTGATCCCTTATAAAATGTATATTATTCTCTTCACCCTCAGAATACAAGGATGATGGAGTCCTTATACCCAAAAACACCACGCTGATTATTTCGAGAATCCCCATTGCACATCCCGCCAAGAAGGGCTGGGAGCCGCCGGCAGCAGCAGACAATGCCTTTCCTGCTGCCACAAGCAAGCAGGACGCCTTCAACATGGATCTGTCCAAAATGCAGGGCAGCGAGGAGGACAAGATCCAGGCAATGATGATGCAAAGTACCGTCGACTACGACCCCAAGACGTAAGTGTTTCGTTGCTGCAATGATATTAATTAATATGGGATGCGTACTTCTTATAGGTATCATCGCATCAAGGGTCAGTCACAAGTTGGAGAAGTTCCTGCATCCTATCGGTGTAACAAGTGCAAGAAGAGCGGCCACTGGATAAAGAACTGTCCCTTTATACTGGGCAAGGACCAAGTGGAGGTTAAGAGGAACACTGGCATACCCAGATCGTTTAGAGACAAACAGGATGCAGCCGAAAGCGAGACCTCAAATTTTGTGTTGCCGGCAGAGCAAAATCAGGAGATACCCGAGGACCTGATATGCGGCATTTGCCGGGACATTTTCGTTGATGCCGTCATGATACCCTGCTGCGGTAGTTCCTTTTGTGACGACTGTAAGTGATGGTGATATCGAAGGAGGGCATTTGCTTACCGAATATTCCACTTACAGGTGTGCGCACCTCGCTGCTTGAATCCGAGGACAGCGAGTGTCCGGACTGCAAGGAGAAGAACTGCTCTCCTGGTTCGTTGATTCCAAACCGCTTTCTGAGGAATTCGGTGAACGCCTTTAAAAACGAAACTGGCTACAAAATAAGTGCTGTTAAGTCGGGTAAGTGTTTTTTTAGATAATCTTGAAAGAAATAATTAATTTATTCTTCCACACAGTTAAAAACGAAGAAAAGCCTGTTGTTGTTGTTGAAAAGAAGGAAGTTGAGGAAAAACCACCATTAAAGGAGGAAGAAACCGAGCCTGAAAAGCCAGAAAAAACTGAAGAGCAAACAGAGGAAACCGAAACCAACGGCAAAAAGGCGCCGAAATCGGAATCTCCAGAGCCGCTGCCGCCGCCTCAAACCAATGAGTCGTCGTTGGCACCAAAGGAAAAAGATAAATATGATTCGGATTATGAAGACAATATAACCATAACCATGCCTCAGGCGGCTGCTGCCTCCGATGCAACTGCAGCATCAACAAGAAAGGTGTGACATCTAGCTTTTCCGAATTTTCAATAACGTAAAATTAATACGAATACTCTTTATAATAGCAATCGTCGCCGGGATATTCCCACAGGTCCAGTGAGTCATCTTCGCACCGTCGCGAATCGGATCGAAATAGGACCGATTATGACCATAAACACCACCGTCCATCGTCCAGATCAGAGCGGGATAGGGAACGTGACCGTGACCGTGAGCGGGACCGGGACCGGGAGTCCGGCAAGGGCGAACGGAGCCTTCTGCCGACGCCTATTGGAACGCTGCCCAGCTATCAGGGGCACATGATGAGCAACGAGTCCGAGGATGCACGCCGACCGAGCGCATATAAACCGCCATATATGCAAATGCAGCGGGGTCCCCCAGTACCCATGCACATGATGCCCATGCATATGCCTAGCTACAATAACGGGTACAACAGCATGGGACAGAGGCCGCCCCTAAGGTAGGTTACACTTTCGACCCCGCCCCGATGGAACCACTGACGCAGCCCCCCGATCACTTCGCATCGCCACGCAGCCGGTCCTGCCCTGATCTCATATTTTTAAGTTGTAAACTGAGGAGACACACAAGAGCTTAGTTAAGAGTACTTGTAAGCTTTGCGCTGTGAGCCCCAACCTTGTTGAATACCTTTAATTAATTTGGAATATTTTTGATTAAAAAATATTGCTTGAAAGTGAAACAGTTAGGCTCTTTGAATCTTAATAAACCTCTTACAAATTTGCAGCTACGTGCCGTATCAGAACCAGCCGCCCGTGCACCCAATGCGCGCTCCGTACGGCTCCTCAGGCGGAAGCATGAACATGAACATGTCATCACAACCATTTCAGTCCCCCAATTTAGCGTCGATATACCAGGGTGTGGCAGCCAAGGTCGGCTCTGGGTAAGTGTGTGCTCACAAACTGATGATTGTGCATATCAAAATCGAAATCTAAACCCTTTGCAGGCTAATTGACGATCCTTTGGAGGCCTTTAATCGCATTATGAAGGAGAAGGAGAGGAAAAAGGTGGATCGATTTCGGAACACTGATCACCATCACAGATCGAGGTCACCGGACAGGCAGAGGCATCGCTTCAAATCACCGGTGTACGAAAAGGATTCCTCCAGGGATAATCACAAGGACAAGAGACCCCGGTCGCGGGAGAGAAAGCGGGAATATAGCTACGAACGGAATACGCGGAATCAGCGTCCTAGTCGCCAGCCCCTAGATGGCTCCAAGTCACCAGGTGATCGCATTAAAAGGTGGGTTTACTGCATCCAATTCCCAATATATCTATATAATATATCCATTTGTTGAATATTTCCTTACAGGTCTGGTGGGCATCGTCGCTCGTCGTCACCAAAGCAGGCCTATAAACCGGATTACAGGGATAAACCATATAGTACGCCCTTCGCCCCGAAACCAGTGGATGCTGTGGAGCCACCGCCGCCCGGTTTCGAGTCCCTGCAGCTGACAAACGATGAGGAGGGGTACAACAGGAATAAGCCCGTGGCTCCTCCCTCAGAGACTTTACGCGGCAGCAAGGAGCACCATGGCAGCAGGAGCAGCAAGAGAAGCGAGGAGAGGGGGCGACACGACGATGAGCTGCCGCGTAAAAGACATCGGTCACGCAGCCAGAGCAAGGATCACTCGAAACCGATGGATAGCCATCGCAGCCTGACGCCACCGGTCAAGATCACAACTCCGAAAATGATGGCTGCTGCTGCCCAGTTTCGAGAGCGCGATTATTCCCCGAAAACGCCCGAAAGAAGAATCCACCACGATGATGAGTACTTGCCAGCAAAGGCTAAGGCGCCAGGTACTGAGGACGTGGAAATGGAACAGCAGACTTTGGGTAAGGAGAACAAGGCTAAAAGTCCCAGCACCCAGCAGTCGTCAAAGGAGCGCAAGAAGAAGAAGAAGGACAAGGACAAGGCAGAGCGCAAGAAGAGCAAGAAGGACAAGAGGGCCGCCAAAAAGGAGAAGCTGGAGCAGCGCCAGAAGAAGAGTTCCTCCTTGAATCGATCCGATTCCGACATAAACAACAGCCTGATGCTGAACAACGAGACAGACTATAAGATGCTGTCCACCTCTCCTCTGGCCAGTCCAGCCTTTGAAATCGAAGGGGATTCCGGACGCAGCGCTCCGCAACTTCTTAATTCCGACAAAAGTCATGCCTACATAGACATTGATGCCTGCAAGAAAGACGAGAAAGAAGGACGCAGCGAGTCCGTCAGCGTGTCCAAGTGGGAATTGGACGAATCGAACTTAAATCTAGAGTCCGATTCTGCCGCCAAGAAGTCTTCTGGAAATGCGGACGACGACCACTCCGAGATAACCTCGGACGTTCTCCGCAAGGCGGAGAATGCGATCTTTGCCAAGGCCATAAACGCCATTAGGCCCGTCGAGTTCCAGGTCATCATCAACTCCAAGGGCAGCAGCAAGGACCGCTCTGTGGCGATCAGGAATGACAAGGAGCGATCGCCCACACCGCCGCCGAAGCGCACCACCAGCAGCAGCAGCAGCAAGTCGGTGAAGGAGAGACTGGGAAATAAAGTTTTGCGAAGTCCCACGCCAGACAGATCCAAGTCCAGGCGAGGCAGACATGAGGCAGCAGCTCCGGCAGCCAAGAGCTCCGATGAGAACAGATCTGGCCGCCACGACAGCCGACGAAGGGAGAACAAATCCAGGGATAGGGAAAGGGACAGGGAACGGGAACGGGACAGGCCCTTGCAGGGCAGACGGCATTCGCCCGAGAACGACAAGCACCGGCGGCCGCAATATAATAAAGATCGTTCCGACAGCAAACTCGCCAAACATGATCAAATCAATAGTAGCGATGACCTGGACCGAAGGGGATCCAAGTCGAACGAGGGTCGAATGGTCTCGTCGGTGGCAGCCGTAAAGACATGTCGCCCAGACAATCCCTTCAGGAAATGCATCGAGACCAGTTCGTCAAACAGTTTAGTTGTAAAATATGATAACACGATACAAAAGGGCGGAGGAGCCGGAGCCTCCGACGACAGCCTTGATCAGAGAAAGCAAAAGGACAAGAAGCAAAAGAAGAACACGAAATATTCGTCAACGGAATCGCTGCGTGGTGACAGGCAGCGCAAGGATTTGAAGAGCAAAAAGAAGAGCAAGATTTTGAAAAAGAAGAAGAAATCAAAGAAGTAGGATTACGACGCTAGGCTAAGCGGAATAAGAATTATAAATATGAACTATATTGAAGATTTCTGTGTACAAATCAAAGATTTTTAATGTATGTATCCAAATCATGCAACTAAGTATAAAAAAAAAAAACAAAAAACCATAAAATAAAAACAGAACTACTCAAGGAATTTCGACAAAAGGTTTTAGCATTTTCATTTATGTATTCGCATTCGTATTCGAGAAATTAAATATGTTTATTACAAACAGTATTATTATTAAAAAATCGATTAATTACAATATGTTGAGATTTATGACTGATTCTAATCGTTATTGCTTGAGCCGTCCATGAAGGACGATGCCATTGGACTGGGCGTTCTAGAGATTATGTTATCGTTGCCGTAGTCATCCGAGTTTCCATCAACTGAAAGCACAAAAATACACCAAAATTAGAGACGCTTAGTTACCGAGTTACTCCAAGCCACACTTGCCTTGTTCCAGAAAATTCGATTTCCTGGTTTGGGGTATGGAACTCAGAGAGTGTATTATCGGACTGCAGGCCTGCTGATCGGCTGTTTCGAGAGTAGTAGGTAGGTCCAAGAGTCGTTGGTTTTGAATACCATCGCCCGGCCCCATATGAGAGATGTGGTTAAAATTGGTTGGCGCCGATATCATCTTTGATCTACGATCGCTGTAACAGAATCAAAAATATTGTGATTAGTAAAGCTAGAAATTAAATCGATTCTATAATAAATTAATCGATTTTTTCGATTACTTTTACATTTTTAGAATCGATTTTCCAAAATTTATGAATTTCTTTACCTTTTGATAGTTTTGTTAATCTCTCGAATGGAAAATCTCCGCTTAATGTTTGGCATTCCTTTTCGATTTCCCTCACGATATTGCAGAAGGCCCTCTGTAAATGAAATATTACATGTAATACACTATATAGTAACCCAAATCCTAGCACTTACTTGTGTGAATATTGGACAGATAAACAATAAGGGGCGTGTCATTGACAGATGACAAGACCACGTTACCCAGATTGTTCAAAGGAAGAGATTGCTTCAGACCAATCGACTGCACCCACTCAGCGGTCTGTGTGTTGAAGATATCCAGATGAGTGTCCGAGAATACCAGCAAATGGCCATCACAAAAGGCTGTTCAACATTACAATAATAATGTAAATATAATGGTAAAATGAGACCTATTGATCAACTCACTGATATACGTGGGAAAGGCTGGATACATGATCTCTCTATCCCGCGACTTGCGTCCCTGCAAGTCCACGTATATGGCCAGAGTTTGGAATACCAGCAGATACTCGCCAAAGTTGCCACCGCTGGGGCAGAGAATTTCAATCACCCGCACCGCATCAACGCCAGAGTAGTTCAAAAATGCACATAGTTGGTTCTCCGGATGAACCAAAGCTATTTGGGAAAATGGCATAGAGAAAAATGTCATAAATATTCAATCAATACTTACACATCGCGGTGGCCTCTCCACGCAGAAAATAGGCAGTGAATCCACTCTGGTGCGCCACAACTAGTCGCATATCGGACAATATCTGTAAATGCTGGGCCATGTAGCCGATGGTGAATTCGCAAGTCTTTTGGTGTCTTGTGCGCGTTCGGTTGATTTCGTAGACAACGATCTGTGTGTGATTATTCGGGCGCTTCAACGCAATGATGAATGAGTAGACAATGTTGGGGAAGCGACGAATTATTCCAGTACAAGCCGATATGCAGTTCTTTGATTCAATCACTTTGATCCACTCGACATCACTAGCCTCTAATGCTCTAATAGGCAGCAGGCGCAAATTGCGCTGTTTGCCGCAAAGAATAACGAGAATCTGCTCTTCCTCAATGTACCATAGCTGCAAAATCTTTTTGCTCTCGCCAATACGAGCGATTTCTGGGAAAAAAAAAACACGAAAACAATACAAAATTAGATTTGAAAATTAAATTTGAAACATTATATAAGAAGAAAAGAAGCTAACTTTGGCAAATTTCACACTAATGATACTGATAATACCCCGCAAGGGTTTAATAAATACATACCGTACTGATCTAAATTAATATAGAACAATCCGTCCTCCGTTCCCAGTAGTATTTGATTTGGATATATGATGACAGAACACAAGGCGTTTCGTATAAGGGACAGGGTATTGTCCAGAATCTCATTTACTTTAAATATAGCTGTATTTGGTAAGCTGTTACGTTTCAATATTCGATGTAGTTCGCCCAGGGCAATGACCCACTTGGACTTTTCAGATTCGTTGTCGGCCAGCATCAGAGTGTTCAGCGAGAGGCCGCCGTCAATGAGGGCGGTTTTTATCTAAAGTTCGAAAAGAATTTAATACAAAGCTCTAACAACTGTACGGTTATCAATGAACTTACTTTGAAAATACATGGCACATCTTTTTTGGCGGCATGAATGACATCACTTTCCCGCACACTGCCCACGGAGAACTCCGGATCCCGCATATCCAACACCTGGGACACACTCACACTGGGCAAGGCACACCGGTCCGGGGATATGTCGTAGAGGAACAACTTGAAGTCGCACACGACCACGAACTGGCGTATCCAGCCGCGCTTTATCACTCCCGATTTCGGCACCTTCACGTAGCCCTCGTAGGCCGTACCAATGCCCCGGGTAGGATCAATGCCCAGCGGTCGCTTGGTTTGGTCCATGGGTACGGGACAGGTGGTGGGGACCTTCTGGCAACAGATCGTGTGGCAGGCGAAGCCACAGATCTCGCAGACAACTCCCTGGCGCGTCAGGCCCACCATCAGTGAGGTGCAGTGATTGCATTTGGTGGGGCTACTGAACGTGCGCACCAAGAACTGGTGAATGGCCTTCTTCTGGGACTCCTTCACCATTAGATCGCTCTCCTCCCGGGACAAATCGCTGACCGACACCACGTCCTTCATTGAGGAGGCGGAGGTGTCCTTGTGGTTCTTGCCCGCGTACTTGGGCTCGTAGTTAAAGAGCATGCCCGAGGAGTTGCCGCCGGACTGGAAGATGAAATTGTCGCCGCCGGACTCATTGCCAAAGCTCTCGGCAGAATCGAGAATTATCTCCGAGGAGGTCTTCGACATGTCCCGGAAGAAGGCGCTGCTGAGGCCGTGGTGCGTGGACTTGTTAAGGAAGGACTCGGAGTATTCTAGGCCGCCCTTCTGCAAGTCGCGCAGCTCGGTCTCCTTTTTCTGAAAGTCGTGGAGAATGGAATCGTAGCGCTTCTTGTAGTCGCGCACCTCCTTTTGCGTGGATATCAAATCGGATCTGGTTTTGCTCAGTTCGTCTGATATCATTGCCTTGGCCTGGATCTCCCGCTGCAGGGCACTCTGCAGGTTGAGCAGCTCCATCTTGTCCAGCTTCTGGGAGCGTCGATTGCGCCAGTTCTTATTGTCCACGCCGTTATTGTTGAAGGTGCCCACATGCTTTAGATACTCCAGCTCCTCGGTCATCTTTGTGGCCAGCGCCTGCAGGTAGCCTCGGGCATCCTTCTCATCGGACACCCATTGAATGATCTCCGCCATTTGGCGTTCCCACTGATTAATAGCCTCCCGTTTCGTGCGCAGTTCCTTGAAGATCTCGTCGTCCTCGGCCTGCAGCTCCTTTAGGCTCTTCGCCTTTAGGTTGACTTCCGAGCTCAGGCGTTGCTTCTCCTCGAACCAGGACGATTTCTCCAGGTCGTGCTGCTTCTTCAACTCCAACAGCGTCTCGGCTGAGTCGGTGATCGACTCCATTTGGGTGAACTTGAGCCGGTCTTGGGTCTGCTGCAACTCCTTGGCCAGCTCGAGGTTCGAGTTCTCAATTTCGCCAAGTTGTTCGCGCATCGCCTCCATTTCCATGTTGTGACGCGTCTGCTGGTGACTAAGCTTCTCCGAGAACTGCAGCTCCAGTCTTTCGATCTCGTACGACGACATGTCCGAGGAGATGCTCAGGGGAAGGTTTGTCGTCTCCACGCTGGAGGAGCCCTTGCGCAGCTCCAGCTGCAATTGTCGGCAGCATTCCTCGGCATGCTCCCGCAGCTTCTTTTCCTTGGATGCCTCGATGACCGCGTCCTCGATATGGAGCTCCAGCTCCCGCCGCGTCTTGTCCGACTTGCGTAGCTCGTTTCGCAGGCTGTCATTCTTCTGCATGGCTCCGTCCAGCTCCTCCTCCTTGTCCCTGACTTGGCGCGAGAGTTTCTGCTTCTGATTGCGCAACTCCGAGAGCTTCTCTGTGACCTCCGAGTACTCCATCATGGCGATATTTCGCTGAGAAATAGCGTCCTGCAGCTCCGCTTCTTGTGTCTTGAGGCGTTCGAAAATCTCACCGTGCTGCTTCGTCAATTCTATTTTCTCCTGCTTGAAGGCCGCCAGCTGCTCGTTGAGGGCCTTGACCTGTTTCTCCTGCACGGCAAGATCCACTACTGAGGCATCGGCAGCAGTCTGCTGTGGACTACTGATGGTGTCCAAGGTATCATCCCCGAAGCCCGAGCTCTGCTGGTTCTTCTTCGTCGAGTCCAGCGAAGAGCTGGTGCTGCCGCTCAGGGAAAAGGTGAAGCCGATGAAGGGCAAGTGAAAGCCAGAGAAGGCGGGATTGGCAGATGGAGGCATCGAGTCCGTTAACCGCACGTCGTTATCGTCCACATCAAAATTGGATGTATCCGTGGGACTCGACACTTCCGGCACATATGGCGCCGGACCCAGCCTTATGTTCTTCCAGTCGATCCCCACGAACCACGGGTGATCCATAAAGTCCTGGATTCCGTTCTGGCCAAGGCGATTCTCGGGTATGCAAATCAGTTTGCTCAGTAGATCCTGTGACGTCTCGGATATCTTGTAATTGATGGTCTCTTGGGAGGGCAAGTTAAAGCAGTTCTGGTGATTCATTATCTTGCCATATGTCTCCACCAGGCTTTCCGCGTAGAACGGCGTCTCGCCATACAGCATTTCATACATGCACACGCCCAGCGACCACCAATCGCACTCCGTTCCATAGCGTCCCTTGCCGTCCTCCATGGCCCGCAATATTTCTGGGGAAATGTAGTCGGGCGTTCCAACGGCTACGTTGGACTGGACGGTGCCATCTTTGTCCAGTCGCAGGCAGGAGCCAAAGTCCGCCAGCCGTACATGGCCTCGTTTGTCGAGCAGAACGTTGTCTGGCTTGATGTCCCGGTGAACGTACTTGATCTGATGAATACTGTTGATGGCCAGAATCATCTCTGTGATGTAGAACTTGGCCATATCCTCGGGCAACTTATCCTCGAACTTGCTGAGCAGCGTAAGAAGGTCTCCGCCGCAGTAATAGTCCATTACGAGATACTAGAAGGAAGAAAAATAACATTTATAAATGGATAAAAGGAGCTAATCTAGTTAATCATGTCCTTACCAAGTTAATATTGTCCTGAAAGGCGTAGTGCAGGTTCGTGATCCACTGGCGATCGCCGAAGACCAAAACATCCCGCTCCTCGCGGAAGCAGGCGGTCTCGGCCCGCTTCAGCATCTCCCACTTGTTCAGAATCTTCATGGCATACACCTTCTCCGTGGATATCATCTGCACCACGCACACTTCCCCAAAGGCACCACGCCCGATTATTTTGAGTATATCAAAATCATCGCGGCTAAGTCTAAGCTTTCGCACAATATGCACGAAGGGCTTGGCTGTTAAGTAAATAAAGTAATGATAAAGGGGGATATAATCATACGAAAAAGTTTTGCCAAATTACGTACACAGTTTAAGAAAATCCGAGACGCCCTTTTCTCTTCGCAGGGAAGAGTTACTGCATTCGTCATAGAGAACGATGAAGGTATCCAACAGATAATCCAACGAAAACTGATGCCCTTCCGTGTCCTCCCCGAATTCGGAAGCCCATTTCTGATCGCTCGATGTGTCGCTTAGGATATACTTTAGAAATGTGAGCCTTTTCTTGCAGCTTCCTGTGGTTATATCTGCAAGGACATGGGAATACATTACAGAATGTGTGATTTTGGACAGTATTACAATTAAAAGAGGACATTTATGTAACACATCCTAGCTCTTAACACCTAAAAATATGTAGTACAATCATAAACTTAACCCTTATTTGATAAGGCCATGTCCTCCTTGGACTAAAAACCTAGTTAGTGGCTCTTCGACACAAACAGAATGGAAAAATGTTGGCGATAAAACTGCACACAAGCCCCAAAACAATGCCGCACCCAACGCCGTCGTCGTAATCACCTGGCTCCTTCCACTTCCAACTTAAAATGTGGCTCGGGGGGTAAAAATTCAGCTTAAACGGGGAGGTTATCATGGGGACCGGACCGAAACGTGTGGAAACACAGCCGTCGTCGTTGCCCCACTGCGTCTTTGTACTTTATAATGCAAGTGGGAACGGCTACAAGCCCACTGGCTGGCCCTAAAAGGCATAAAAGGCTGAAAACGAAGACCTTTTTGTAATAGTTTTCAACTTTCAACACGGAAACTCATTCACATAGTAGAATTATACAAGGTAGTCCAGTCTGGTCCCAAATGTTTGAATTTTAGGGCTTATTTTGACAGCTCATGTTTATTCATTGAGATAAACTCAATGGGTTGAGTAGATTGTGTGCACAAATTTTATTCCTGTCAATCTGAGAATAGGAAATACTTAATACAAGCAAAATATGTGTATTGAAGGAATAAAGCAATACCATCGTCAATACTTATGGAGAACGAGAGCCTAAAAAACCAAATTCGTATATTGAAAAATGAAATGGTTTCATTACGCCAGCAGGTTAATAACTACAAGGAATTGGAGGTGTCTCTGGATAAAATTTTTACTGAAACCCAAATAAAAATATTAAAGAGTGGAGGGAAAAGGTCAAATTTTAATTCAAGAGACATATCTGCAGCCATCTGTCTTCATGCCGCGGGACCTCGTGCGTACAACCACCTATATAAAAAAGGATTCCCTTTGCCGTGCCGGAGTACATTATATAATTGGGACCTTTATTTATAAAACTCCACTTCAGCAACAACTTTAAAGAGATTGAACAATTTAAGCCCCAATGTACAATCTTATAAACATAGTGTGTTTAACACACATACTATTGACATTTCACTCAAACTTTGAGACTATACCCGTCTCACGCACACTTTGATGAGTCGAACTAGGGCTTATTTTTTCCGACTGGACTACCTTGTATAATTCTACTATGCTCATTCATATATGTACACCCACACACACACACAACACAGAGACGTCGTTTCTTATTGGAGATCTGTATTTACAATTCATATTCGGCCAAATCAGACCAATTTCGATTTTTCAAATATGTATGCGGGGCATTACATACATAAGCACGGCGCCGCCGACCCCCCGTGCAGGAGTATATTAAATATAAGTACATACAAACACGTCTAAGCGTATGTACTTATATGTATGTTTGTTAGTTCTTCCGCACAGATATAAATAAATAATTGTTTATATGGGGATATGTATGTACATTTCTTGACAAGTGTGCGAAAAAAAACAAATGCGTCAACAAACAATAAACGGTCTCTTCGGAGGCCGGAACACGGTGACAACGAACTTTAGAAATTACCACTGAATTCGGAAGATTCGTATTCCATTGTATTATTTGTTATTATATTCGGATTAAATCATTTTTATCCAAGAAACACAACACACAAAACGCCGAATGATGGCATCGAAAACCTGTCGAAGCAATCGATGTTTAAAAACGGCTTAGTAATCGATACATCGATAGTGGTTTTTAAAAAGGTCGGCGCTGCCATACTTTGCGTGGAAATTCTGAAATTTAAATTGGAGAACTATATATAATAATTAATAGTGTTTTTTTAAACTTTGTGCTTAACTAAATAATTACGCTCGATTCTTATAAACTTATAAATTAAAATATATAATTTTGCCTCCTATGTTTCATTCAGTTGTTCCTAAAAACCACGCGCGGCGATACTATCGATTACATATATTTTTCCCATCTCTAGGATACCTTCGCAAAGCCTTCTAATACTCAATATCAAACTTCATTGCAAAATTAACATTTGTTATTGTTTTCAAGATATTAAGTATCTGCAGACGCGCGCAGCGTGTTACTGCCGATGAGGAGTGGAGTTATATTCGCTATTTGGAATATATTGGCTCTTACTTTCGCGACTACTTAAATAATAAATGTATGTACATACAAGCGTGCATACGCTTGCTATATGTATCTAAATATGTGTGTATGCGCAGTGTTAGCAGAATAGTTTGGTACATAAAAATGGGCGATAGTTGTGCGGAAACGGCCCGCATTGATGAAATTCAGTGAATTGGTGTCGGCATTTGATGTATTTCGGTGTTTTCTACTATTTTACGGTGAAAACAAATGCAATTTTTGGTGCAACAAAATTAGGCGCCCGACTGGAGTGTATTCGCGTCAACAGTGCAAACTCAAATGTGGCGTGAGAAAATTTTCATCATCTACTAAATGCATTTCAGCCGATTAACGAAAAGTGTATTTCTCGGATGAATAATATAAAGCAGGCCTTGGATTCAAGATACTTTCATCACGAGTTTAAGATGCGATATAATGCATCTATTAGATGCGTGACGGCACTGCATTTTTATAAATATTCAAGCTGCAAAATGCAAACATTTCGAATTTATTATTTTGCTTATGTATAATGTCTAAAAGTGGTCACACCAACAATTATATCCTAAGTTTTGTTTATGCAAATGTAACGAAAACCCGTTGATATATTAAGTAACCCTGTTTGTATGTAATTTGCAGTAAGCCATGATGAGGGAGTCGGCTCATGAAATAAACATGGATACGTGGAAGCAATGGATCCTCGAGGCCATATCGAAAATCAGGTCCCAGAAGCAGAGGCCCTCCGTGCAGCGGATCTGCCAGGCGATCGGCACGCACCACAAGTTCCACGAGGACATTGTGGCCGAGAAACTGGAGAAGGCAGTCGAGTCCGGAGCTGTGATCAAGGTGTACAATAAGGGCCTGCATTCGTATAAGGCGCCGATGGCCAAGCGACGCGTCAAGGTGGACAAGAACACCAATCTATACAAGTTAGTGGCCAAGGCGGTGCACGATTTGGGCGAGTGCGAGGGATCCACCATTAAGAGTATTGAGAACTACATACAAAAGTTCAACTGCATCGACCTGTCGCCCAATGTCGACTTCAAGGCAGTGATCAAGGCTTCTATAAAGAAGGCCGTAGACGCTGGTTTTCTGATCCAAGAGGGAAAGCTCTACAAGAAGGGCAAGTCACTGACCACGCCGCGGAAATGTGCCCCGCCCTCGGACGTGGTCATAAAGGGCGAGGAGAGCTGCACACACTGCTCTGGCAATGCGCAGAAGAACCTGAACGGCATCCCCGAGCCGCTAAGCTCGTGTAAACAGTGCGGCATATCGCTGCACACCACCTGCGCCAATATCGCGGGCAGGTGCAAGTCTCAGTCGTATGTCCTGCTCTATATGCTCGTCACCAAGGGCACGAACTGGGACTGCCAGAACTGCGCCGATTGCGCCGTTTGCAAAATGCGCAACCGTGGGCCCTGTCTGCTGCAGTGCTTCGTATGCAAGGACCACTTTCACTTGACGTGCCTCGACACGATACCGGACAAGAAGCCCAAGCATCCATACAGGTAAGACCCCTTCCATCCACAAATTCTCCTCACAACTACAATTACCTCGGTCCTTTCAGGTGTAAAACGTGCTCCAAACAAAGCATAGACAATCCCAAGTTGCTTAAAAGAGACAACAATTCAAGGATTAAAATGGAGGTTGGAAACGAGAGGTGCGTTTATTTACAATCCCAAAGTAAACTAGGCTCTAAACCAAAATTTGACTTTTCAGGATGACTGCCTCCTCCGATAGGTATTCCCAAAATAAGCGGCAGATAATTAAGAAGGAGGGCAACTCCGATAGTCCGTCGACCTCAAAACTATGCGTTTACAATGACGGCGGCAACGGTCAGAGGAGAAAAATGGCCGCGGGCTTGAACTCGAGGAAACTGAATCACAGCGAGGATCAGTTCGAGTTCCCGGGTAAGCAGAAGCGGTCACATATAGTACAGGGAGGCTACTTGGCTAGCCAGGAGACTCGAAAGCGCACCTTCTCCGATCTATCATCCTCGAGTTCGTCCAGTGATAGCGAAGATGACGACGATGAGGACGACGAGCGGAACAATAGGGGCTGCGATGACAACGATCAGGACGAGAGCACATCCTCCGATTCGTGCACGTCGTCCAGCTCAGACTCTGACTCCAGCGAGAGTTCCAGTGACAGCTCGGAGTGTGATGACGAGAACGACGAGGAAGACTACGACACCGATCGCAGCACGCTCAAGGGTAAAATGTTTGAGAACGAGAAGCAGAGCTGCGCGAAACTGAATGCCACAAACGCAGGACTAAGTTCACCGGACAGCAATGATGCGACGGCTGGCGGTGAGAACAACTGGGGCTTTGCGGCTGTGGCCAAGAATCCGATTGACATATTTGTGAAGTCAAAAAACAGTAGCAAAGGCATGGGCTTTGCCAGCTCACCAGCACATAATCGAAGTCAAAGAGGCACGCCAGCAGCGACTTCGAATACCACATCCACAGCCACAGCCGCAGCTGCAGCCAGTGTTATTAGCATTAGGCACAGACAAGGAGCCAACAATGGGCAAAAGAAGAAGATTGTTCCCCTGAAGAGCATGCCTTTGGAGGTGGGAAAGTCGTACGAAAAGGGCGACGAAGATGACATTCCATATCTTACCGAAGAGACAGTAATGAAGGTACAACTGCTGGAGGAGATCGAGCGGAGCAGGGAGTCCAAGAACGAGGCCGACGCTGAAAAGCCAGAAAGCCATAACGATGAGGATTTAATTGCGAAGCGAGCCAATCCCTTTGAAAATCAACCCCTGCCGCCGGGCGTTACTGCAACAGACGTGGAGCTATATCAAGAGGTTCTCCACAAAGCGGTCGTTCAGATGTCCAACAACCACATAGAGAAACTGGTTGACGATGTCGGTCGAAAGCCAGGACAGAATACCCAAAGTCCCAAGTCAATTCAAATTGGAAAATGGGACATTGAGACCTGGTACTCCAGTCCCTTTCCCCAGGAGTATGCCCGGCTCATGAAGCTTTTTCTGTGCGAGTTCTGCCTGAAGTACACCAAGAGTCGCTCGGTGCTGGACAGGCATCAGAACAAGTGCATTTGGAAGCAGCCGCCTGGCACTGAGATATTCCGGCAGGGAAATATATCCGTGTTCGAGGTTGATGGCAATGTGAACAAGATCTATTGCCAGAACCTGTGCCTGCTGGCCAAGTTCTTTCTCGACCACAAAACGCTCTACTACGACGTGGAGCCCTTTCTGTTCTACATTCTAACAAAGAACGATCAGAGCGGCTGCCATCTCGTGGGCTACTTTTCCAAGGAGAAGCACTGCACGCAAAAGTACAATGTGTCCTGCATTCTGACGATGCCACAGTACCAACGGCAGGGCTACGGCCGGTTTCTGATCGACTTCAGTTACCTGCTGAGTCGTGAGGAGGGGCAGCTGGGAACGCCGGAGAAGCCGCTCTCCGACTTGGGGCGTCTCTCCTACTTCTCCTACTGGAAGTCCGTCGTGCTAGAGTACTTGTACAAATACCGCAATCAGCCGAAGATCACCTTCAAGGACATTGCCATCAAGACCGGTCTGGCTATATCCGACATAGCCCTGGCCTTTGAGCTGCTCAACTTCATCAAGCTGAGAAAGAACGACGGCGACATTCGGTATCAAATCAATGTGAAAATAGACTGGAAGAAGGTGGTGGCTCATCACAACAAAATGGCTAATAGCAAGACTCGAATAATCATCGAAGCCGACTGCTTGCGCTGGAGCCCCTTGCTGTCCGTGTCCAAGCTACCCAACATAATAAAACCCATCTCGAATCGCGAATATTTGAACAATCAAATAGAGCGAAAGGCCGACTTCAAGGAGAATGCCGAGGAAAACAAGCAGCCTGTCCTACCGGTCATTCCAAAGGCGAGCCAGCAAGAGTGCGGCGAAGCTGCTCCGGCCAAGAATCGTGTACCGAGCTCTGAAAAACCAGTTGAGGAGCGCGAGGGCCAGCGAAAGCGTGCCTGCCCGGAAGAGTTTCTTAGGTCAGCAGTGAGTGAATCGAAGAAATCCAAGATGGTGATGACTGCAGTGCAGCCGACCCCAGAAGATCAGTCGTTTGCTGAGCACTCATCCGACTCATCCGATGGGAAATCCTCGAAGGAACTCTCCGAACACTTGACCAAACGTGCCCAGAGATTGGCCAAGCGCAACGATGTCATTCCGCACACCAACAAGCGGAAACACTTCGACCGACCGCTGGAGACTAGTGGCACTGCATCCGATCAGAATCCGGCGCCCATGCAAAGGCAGTCGGAGACAGCAGCAGATGCAGAGGAAACTGAAGCCAAAACGTCGGAAGACTCTGCTGCTGCTACTACTGCTGCCAGGGAGGTTAGCAAATCGTCATTGCACGTTGATAAGAAGGTGAATATTGTGCCCAAACTGAGGGGCAAGCAGTCGAACGGCAAGCGATCCAGCGAGGACTTGCACTTCAACGGCAATGCCTCAGCGGAAAACACGGAAAATAACAGCAGTAGTCCGGCCAAAGAACCCCCTAGAGAATCTATCAAAGTGGCCACAGTTGAGAGTCCTATTAAGAGCCAAACTTGTGCCAAAGCAGAGACTCCAGCTGAGGCAAGCAGCATCACCGAACAAGTGCTCGATGCCGTGGCGAAGAAAACAAAGAAAACTGTTTTCTCGGACGCTATTACGTCGTACAACGCGGAAGAGGTCAAGTATAAGGACAAGCTCGAGGTTACCGCTCAAGAGGTGGTGGAAACTGTCAAGGACATTAAGGAAGTACAACCAGAAAGCAAACCTAAGCCCAAGAGTCCCGAGAAAGCGCAGCCCGCCGTCGTGCTTGCCACACAGCCTGCTCTCGAGCAGCTTCCGATTCCTGTGAACACGGAAAATATCAAAAAGTCACCGGATCAACAGAAAGTGGAGATAAATCTGAACTACCTTAAGTCATCGCCAGATTCATCGGTTACGCCGCCAGCAGCAGTGCCAGTGCAGGATGCTCCGTCTTCCAGTGTCCCAGTCCCAGTCCCAGTCCAGCTTGAAAAGCCCAATGAGGCTGTGCTGCCCGCTCAGCCCCTAGAGGGGGCTCAGGCTCAACAGAAGCCGGTGGAAGTAGAAAAGGCAAAGAAAACGGAAACCGCTGCCACTCCAATCAATCCGCCTCCCAATCATCGGGCAGAAGTCCCTTCTACATTGGAGATGCCCAAGGCCCAACCAAAGGCGCTGGAAAAGACAGAGCTGCCTCCGCCTATGACCGACATCAAGGAGAAGGCAATCAAGAAGGCAGTGACACCTCCAGTTGTGAAACCTGAGATCAACAACGGCGACAAGAAGTACGATGCCAGCAAGGCGATGAAAGTGTCTGTGCCCGAGAAAGAGCCCATCAAGACAGACCATCAGTTGGTGCAAGTCAAGGAGGAGGAGGTCAAGTCGAGTGCACGCATGCCTGCGGCAGTGCATCCCATCCGAGAGAAGATGCAGCTGAAGGGCAGCAACGAGCACGCCGCCACCGCCGCCGCTGCCCAGCTGCAGAACTCGATTCCCTCCCAGTTCCCCAACCTCAACCAAATGCCCAACTACCATTCCTCGCAGTACTGGCAGTGGGACTACTACAGCTACAACCTGTCGCACCTAGACCCCGCCACGCAGAAGGGCCAGAAGCAGTTCCACAAGGATCTGGCCACCACCATGGCGTACACGCACAACTTTACGCAGAACCTCTACCAGTCCGCCAACCTGGCCATGCAGCATGCCCACCATCATCAGATGCACCAGACCAAGGAGAAGCACAAGGTGGAACGCAAGAGTGGCGGCAAGAAGGACGAGCACCAAGCATCCAAGGTGGTGCCAAGCGGCGTGAATGCGGTCAGCGCCTCTCGCGAGGATGCCCATGTCCAGCACTGCAATGAGTATGCGGCCAACAACCAGGCGGCGGCCATTTACAATCAGAAATGTGCCGCTGCTGCTGCTGCGTCCCAGCAGAAGCAGGCGCAGGCGCAGCAGATGAAATCCCTGGCCAATGCCCAGAACTCAGTGCCACGGCAGAGCAATGCCAATTCGGCTGAAACGACGGTCCTAATGCCCAACCCGGGGACCGTGGCTGCCAAGCAAAAAGCCGAGCACGGCGTCAATCCCACAACTGTCATTTCGCGCGAGCCAAATCTGAATAAGATTGGCCAGCATCCCAACATACAGCACGCTCCGCCAAGCCAGCATCCCAACCTGCAGGGCGGTGGCCAGAGCGATGTCAATCCGAATTTGGTGTACAACACAGAGCCGTCGGCGAATGCGGCCATGCAGCAGCACTACGATTGCGGGATCAATGCGCAGATAAACATGGAATCGCCGGCCAACATAGGCAGCGCCATTTCCCACGGCTCCCAGGAGATTGCTGCCACCGCCAACGTGCATATGCATCAGCCGCACCGGCAGTTCTCCGATTGTTCCATGCAGAACCAGCCAGTCACCACGCCCATGCACATGTCCATCCAGAACTCGCACATGCAGCAGCAGCAGAACAGTCTGAATATGAATCTGTCAGCGGAGTCCTCGGCGAATATTAATCTGCTTAACAATCCGCAGCATCAGCAGCATCAGGCCAGGAAGTTGAATGCTCAGGTAATAGTGTGTGTAATCCTTATTAACTTTTGTTTTATTAATCATTATTTTGAACAACCCCAAAGGCGGACATTGCGGTCAGTTCACCGACGACTCCCTCGCACAGGGCCACCACGCCCAAGCAGATTCGCAGCGGAAATACTGCCCAGCAGCAGCGGGATTCCAAGAACGCGGCGCCGCCCACAACCACATCGAATACTCATCATCAGATTCCGCAGGGAGGCGGAGGCGGAGCCACTGCAAATATTTCCAAGTCACACCAGGAGTCGCTGCATAATCTACAGTTCTCGCAGCACGGTGGCCACCAGCAGAATATGCAGACCATCGACTATGTCCCGATTCCGCAGCTCAGCCAGAACTTCTCGGCCAATCCCACGAACTATGACATCGTGAGCATGCCGGCGGTGATCCAGCAGCGGATGCACTCGCTCCCCAACACCCATCAGCGCATCGAGCAGCCGTCGTCGGCGTGCGCCGTGAACAATTTCTATTTGCAAAACAACATGCCTGCCGCCACAGAGAATGCCCCGCGGGTGCCAGTATCCAGCTCTTTGGGTGGTCCGCCTACATCCGGCAATGATCAACAACGGCAGGCGGGGGGTCAGGACTCGATATCGGCAGCCGTCAACAGCACGGGCACCACTGCCTCTCTGTGCAGCCTGTCCAAGCTGCAGCAGCTGACGAATTGCCTAGAGAGCCAGCCATGCAACACGTCGCCGGGAGCGCAAGTGAATCTGGCGCCCTCGCCGCACCATCCCATTCCACCCAACTCGATGACTCCGCCGCCGCACCTGCTCATGCAGAACAGGAACATCTCCACGCCGCCGCATGCCAACATGCTGCAGACCCAGGTGGCGCCGCTGCAGTACCACAAGTACTATCCGATTACGTCTGCCCAGAACACGAGCAGGAACACGGCTCGCAACACCCCCTCCGCCCCCGTGCAGCACACCTCGGCGCCCATGGGCAGCGGTGGCAGTAACAATCGCACTACCACCAACGTCCACATCAGTCCCAACCTGATGGCCCCATACGGAGCCATTAATAGCTACCGCATGTCGCCGCAGCAATCGCCGCCCACTGGGAGCTATAGCTCGGGAAGCGATTACCCCAACTCGCAGATACCGATGCAGATGATGAATATGCAATCTCAGTACCAGGATGCATGCGTGCTGCAGCGAGGCACTCCCTCCAATCCAATGTATCCCACGTATTCCCCCTATTTGCCTCTCAACGGTTCTATTCGCAGATAATAGATGCGCACATTTTATATGTTATTGTATTGAGTATGATTTGTATATATGAATGTGTGCTGTAAATAAATATTCTATATTATAATGTCACTTGGTAAAATGTATCTATGAAGAGGCATCTACTTCTCACAAGTTGGAATTTGATTCATCTGATGAACGAATTTTGTGTAGAGTTGTGTAGAGTTTATTCCAAACTCATCATGTGGTATGCTGATCAGTTCTACATAGAATTGTGTACTCTTTTTCTGTGGGATATATGTATCTCTCTCTCTGGAGAACTTTTGAATTCGCAATTTTGAGCTTACATTATGCTAAAAATGTTATTTTAAACTTGTAGATAATTATTTAAATGTTTATACCCCATTGGTTTTATAATTTCAGTCAGAAGCTAGTAACCAAGTGAAGGAGTTATTTCTAACAAGAATGAAAGCTAACTTTGGCCAGCCAAAGTTTGTATACCCTTGCAGGTAACATTTAAAATATATCATAACTAAGCCAAAAATGCATTAATTTCGATTCGGAAAGCAGTTTTGTGTTAGTTTTTATTAATTTAAAAAAACTGCATACCAAATTTAAAATTTTAAGAAATCAAAATTTTTGGCCATTTTTGCTCATTTTAATGATGTAACCCCTTATCAAATTTCGCAAAAATGGCCAAAAAATCGATTTCTTCCGGACATGTCTAGAAAGATTCCCCTGTTGATGCAGATCAAGAATATATATGGTTTATGGGGTCGGAAATGATTCCTTGACTTGGAAAAATATTATTTTGTATTATAAAATCGGATTTTTTATATTAAAAAACTTCTTGATTTTTTTAAAATTAAAAATATCATAACTCGGCCAAAAGAGCATTAATTTTAAATCGGAAAACTGTTCTGTGCAAGATTTTCTACAGTTAATAAATCTGCATACTTCATTTTAAAATTTTGAAAATTCAATTTTTTATCAAAATCCAAAATTTTAATGATGTAACCCCTTATAAAATATTGCAAAAATGGCCAAAAAATCGATTTTTTCCTGACATATCTAGAAAGATTCCCCTGTAGATGCTGATCAAGAATATATATACTTTATAGGGTCGGAAACGTCTCCTTCACTGCGTTGCAAACTTCTGACTGAAATTATAATACCCTGCAAGGGTATAAAAAGTTATTCTACAAAAAAATTTACCCATTTATACAAACTTTTACAAGAGTTTTCAATTCTTATATTGTCAGAAACTCTCACAAAATTTCATTCAAACAAATAATAAATGCATTATTTGTTACACTAATAAAAACTAACACAGAAAAGATCTCTTTTAAGCAGATTTTTTGATCTAATAAAAACTAAAACACAGGTCTCCCAGTTTTAGTGAATGCTTTTTTGGCCTTTGCAAACTGTTCCCCGAAGTCAACTTTCCTTCTTTTAAATGAAATAAATGTTAAAGCGGTTTAATGTTTAATACTTTTTCTTTATTGCTTAGATCTAACAATGTTTAATCAAAGCTTGTTAATTATTTCGAATGTGTGCTATTATCTAGACTAATGTCAATGTTTTTTTCTCCTTTTTATTAGTTTTGACTTCATTTAGTTTTGGTAACCAAAAGAGAGACCAATTTTCGAATGTTTTTCCATATGAGTTTTTCTATTCATGGGCTTCTAAATTAAATACAGTTTGGGTAGAACGATTGGCTTAAACAGTAGGTTACGCTCTATGAATATCTATTTAGATTTCGCCTGGTTTTACTCCAGAATGAAAGCTAACAACTTATGTGTAGTTAATTAATTAATAATGCGTTTAAAATGTAGGGGCATTTTACTATATAATATTATAATAAATTAATTAGAGAAATAATGGTAGGGAATCAAAGGCCGAGCTCTGTTAGTCCAGTCAGGGTAACAAATAAGCGACAAGTGAGTGGATATAATTCCATTGTACAAATCATGCAAACGACTAAAATTGTACACTATCATTGAGATAAAATGTAAATTGAATAAGTATAGGAAGCATTTTGTGTGTGGTTTATTGATCAACAGATGATCTCTTCAATTGTCTAGCTCTATGGTTTAGACATTCTACTTCTCAGACGGAGTACATTGAGGAAAATGTAAGAACAAATATGAAATCGGAATACTTTCTACACAGCAAGGCATCAAATACTCAAGTCGAATATAAATACAGCTAATAATAAATCATATAAATTAGTCACAAGTTGGAGTCTGAGTATATTTGAGCTCGTTGGTGTGGCGCTGCGCCCTCAACTGGACACCGGACACTGGAGATATGGTCTCTATTTACAGTTACTATTGCGACGACCACTCGTTTATGGGGTAAGTGCTGCTACCGATGTACGAGGGCTGCCGAATTGGCTCGCCGGACGCTGGCGCATTCACAGCAGAGCTCCAGTGCTGCCTGGGAAAGACATTCGAGTTGGCGTACGACGACGGAGCACCGATATAACCCGCTGGCGGGTGCAGATTGGAATGATACGGCGCGAAATTCAAATTGCCGTACGAGGTGTAGTTATTGAGGTGGTAGCTGGAGGCGGGTGGCGCGGCCTTGTGCTTATTGTCGTAATAATCGTAATATTGGGGGGGATAGGAGGGCTGGTGGAAGGGATTTGGTTTGGGAACTGTCTGGAAATACGAGCTGTCCGTCGTTTCACTCGGGTGCGGCGGAAGTGGCACATTGGGCTGAATACTACTGCTGGCATTGTTGTAACCTTCGCTAACAGCCGGCGGCAGGTGATTTGGATGCTTATACGCTGGCGGCAACGGTTGCTGCTGCTGTTGCGATTGTTGCGGATGTGTCTGGGATGGTTGTTGCTGTTGCGGCTGTTGGGGCGACTGTGTCTGCTGCTGCTGCTGGTGCTGCGACGGCTGTGCATAGTTCAAGTCACAAGGCATCTGATGTGGATTGGAGGTGTTGTTGGGTTGCGTTTGCGGCTTAAAGTGTGCTTGTTGTTGTTGCATGCTCTCTGTGGGCTTTCGCTTTTCGCCAGCAGACATTTCCGGCCGGTTTGCAGCTGTTGCTGGCGCTATGCCCTCCTTGTTCTTTGCGATATGTTGTGGTTCTTCATCAGCAGTCAGATCTTTCACATCTAAAAACAAATTAATAACTTGTCAATTACACAGGTCGATAGCTTTTTGGAACCAAGTTTCAAGTTTCTGTTCTGATGTTATATTATGGTCCCTTGCCCCACCTTTCTTACCTTGCTCTGGCGTTTGTGGCTTGGCGGTATCCGTGTCACAGTCGGATGTTATGTCAATGACATCGTCCTTATTATTTGGTTTCTCCGCTTCGGTTTTAGCCGTTGTCCTTATGGCTATGATCTTTCCGCTGTCCAGCTGCATGTATATTCCCTTCGCCGACTTCAGGACCATGACGCGTTGCCCAGCCTTTAGAATTATATTGGCCTTGTCAGCCGAATTTGTGGGAATGACCACATCTGCAAAAACAAACATCAATTAGGGGACTATTCAAGATGTGACTCGGCAGGGGACTTACCAAGTGGCAGGGTCATTTCTTGGGCTGTCATGCCCTGTCTCTGCCACACGTCGGCGGGTATCCAGCGTGTAGTGCGTCCTCCTCCAGTGGAGGCCGACGTATGCGTCTTCATTTGCTATAAGGTCATCATGCAATTAAAACACATCTTGGTTAAGTCATCTACAAGCTACTTACCGGTGTCATGGGTTTGGTGATTACCGTGCCATCGTTGTTCACAATCTTGTAGTGCATTTTCGCGGGAGTATACGTAAAGCGCTGATTGACGGCAGCCTTCTTCTCCAGCTCATAGCTGCGATGAGCCTGTCTCTTCTCGGCCTGTGACAGCTTTCTGTCCTTTTGGTCTACCAACAAGCTTTCGTGCAAGAACGGTTCCTTGGTCACGCAATGCTTGTGCAGCTCGAGAATGGTGTTGATTATGGAGTCAGCATGAACCTTGGGGGTTAAGACCTCCTCATCCTTTTCCTTTTTGACTGGCACCCCTAAACCGGTGCCGTTTTGTGCCTTGGTCTCATCCACATCCATTGGCTCGCCTTGGACATCTGCCGATGGTTTCGTTTGCTCATCCTCTGATTGTGGTGACTTTTTTGATTCCTCTGCTGCCTTACTCGACTCATCTGCCGCGTCAGGAGATAACTTTGTAGCCTCCATTGTTGGAGAACTGGGCTTGCTGGGCGACTTGCTGGATTCCTCGACCACTTCTTCATCGGAGTCGTAGTCATGGCACAAATTCGTGATATCCTTCATCGAAAGGTGTGCCTCGGGATTGCACTCGTCGACAATGCGGTCGGACATGCCTTGCTTTTTAATCTGCCTGTCGTATATCTTCTTCTCCAGGCACCTATCCATGACGATTCTGTACACAAAACACGGCTTTGTCTGTCCATATCTGTGAAATGAAATGTTTTAGTAAGTTGTACGTGGCCTAATCTAAGTCTAAGTCAGTGCTCACCTGTAAATCCTATATACAGCTTGGGTATCGTGGCAAGGGTTCCAGCTGGCATCGAATATTATAACGCGATTCGCTCCCGTGAGGTTGATGCCCAGCGAGCCGGCCCTGGTTGATATCAAAAAAAGCTTAACATTACTATTTGAGTTGAATTCATTGACTAGCCTTTCCCTTTCCTGCGAGGAAGTGGAGCCATCCAAGCCTGAAAAATGAAATTCGAAATTAATTATCACAATTATAAATGCAAGGAAACGCAAATAAGAGTTATGTATATTTTAGGAGTACTCACGGAAGTAGGAAGTGTTTTTAGTCCAAAGCAGATTGCTCCCTGGAACATAACTTGTCTTCAGATAGCCCTCGAGCAGGTTTAGGGTCAACAGACTTTGGCTAAATAACAAGATGCGGTCCCCCAACTGCATGCTCTCCTTTAGTATGCAAAAGAATATCTCCATTTTCGGCGAATTCGAGATTAGCCCCGAAACATAGTTCCGCATCAGCTCGACCGCCCACGAGCAGGAGAACTCGTCGTTTCGCTTGCTCTTCAGCAGCTTCTTGAAAGGCTCTGCGGCAGCAATGCCTGCCGCGTTTTTAATGCCCGGGGAACTCCATTCACTGGGCCTATTCGAATTGCACTCACTGTCTACTTGATTATTTGTACAGGGCGAGGATTGTATGGTCGTCTCCACGGTTTTAATCTCGTTCGTGTCCAGATCCACGATCTCCGAGGACGTCGTAATACTCTCAAAATTGCTCGACATGTTGGTATCTGTCTGCTTGATGACTTCCACGCATCCGGGCTTGGGCAGAATACTAGAGTCCATCCAATAATTGTTCTTTCCCTCACCTCCAAAGGCCCCGTAGCCCAGGGGCTCCGGTTTCTCCTCATAGAAGCTGGGACTGGAAAGGGGTTTATAAACTAGAGATTATGGTCTTATGGTTACTCAAAGCTTACCTTTTATTCAAATACTTTGCGTTCAGATCCGAGGAGGTTGGCATACTGAATAACGTTTGATTTTCGGCCTTGGGCAGGGTCTCAATATTATTAACACTATTGAGGGGCTCGCTGGTTCCATTGTTCCTCTTTTCGGCCAGGGGCGAGGCTATAGAATCATGATGGAGGGGCTCGACAACAGCTGGTGTGGCGGGTGTGGAGGGGATGACGCTCTTGGATAGGTCTTCGTCGATTTCTAAATCTAAATCAGTCTCACATTTCTTCAGAAAGTTGTACAGAACATCTGGGTGATTCCAGATTTTACAACAGACGGCAAAGGCCTTCAGGGGATTGGGGAACGCCTTGGTGCGCACCACATCCGTCATGAACGTGTCGTAGAGCTTTCGCTGGAACGGAGTCATTCGCACCAAGATAACATACTCGTATTTCTGCGGCAGGGTGCTTTGCAGCACCGTATGCGATCGCCGCTGAACAAATCCCAGCAGCAAGGAGTGCAGGACGTGGGCCCTGTACCTCATCAGTTTGATGTCATCCGGCGTGGAGTCCACGCACTGTCCGTTCTGGATGGGCCGCTCGAACATGTTGCAAAACTCGGTGCGTGTGCCCAGATAGTTGGGCCTGACGAAGTCCACCATGCACCAGTACTCGAGCAGGTTGTTCTGCAAGGGGTAGCCAGTGAGTACGATGCGGCGTCGCGTCCTGATCTGCTTCAGGGCCAGCGAGATGCCGGCGTGCGAGTTTTTGATCCGGTGCCCCTCATCACAGATGACCAGGTCCGGGCCTGGCTTCACCAACGCCTCAAACACCAGATTCATGAGATCGCTGCTGGAGTCCATGCCGTCGGGGCGGATAACGCTGCCCTTTCGCTTTCGCGTCTTCACCAGCTTGAGGGCCAGGAGGCGGAACAGCTCATACCCGATTAGCAGGACTCCGCCCTCGTGGACCCAGTTGAGGATAACCTTCGCCCGCGCCGTCAGCGTCTTCTGCTGATCGTTCAGGACGTATATGTCGAAGTTGCGGGCACGCACATTGCCGTCCGCGGAGTAGCGCGGAATCCACATGTTGAACTCGCTCAGCCAGTTCTGCAGCGTGTTGATGGGCATCACGCACAGCACCGTCCGCGCCGAGGTGTGTCTTAGGAAGATATCACAGAAGGAGACAACTTGCAGCGTCTTGCCCAGGCCCATGGAGTGGGCGAGAATGCACCCAAAACCGCTCGATTTGTTGTACCTCCGTGTGGACTCGATGATGTTGTCGTACAGGAAGCGCACTCCGCCGATCTGATGCGGTTTTATTACCTTGGCTATTTGGGGGGCCAGGTAGAGGGTCTCCTCGCCTTCGGGGTGCGCCATGTTGACCACCACTTGCCCGTTTTCATCAGGAACATTGTACAGATCTTTGACGTGCATGCCGCTGTTGGTGGCATCGTCCGACTCGTTCAGGTCCTCGTCATCCTCCTCCATCTCCTCCTCGGAAAGGAGTATGCAGTCGTCGTCGTCGGAGCTGTCGTCGATGGTGACCACCTCGCTGGGCTGCTCGACGCTGGCCTCCTTGTGGATTGCGTCCCCGATGCTGCCGCCGCTGAGGCTACTGCTGTTTGACTCGTCGAACGTGTCCGAGGCGATCTCGTCCTCTGGGAAATCGACGGGGGGATGGTGCTCGGCATGGTTGGACACCGAACAGCTCTCGATGCCCTCGCTCTCGTCCAGCTGCAGGATGCGGAAGATTTGCTTGTGCACCACCTGTTTCTGGATCTCGCGCATTGACTTTTGTTGACCAGCAACGCGAGCCAAGCGTTCCGACTCCTCTCGCTGAGCCGCCAGCGTTGTGGTGTCCAAGTTGTTCTCGTTCATCACGTCCCGGATGTTCTTGCGGAGGTGGCTGTTCTTCTTCTCGGCCTCGGCGGCGGCGGCGGCCAGGCTAATCTTCTTGCTCGCCGCCGCCTGTTCGTCGGCCACTGAATTCTTTCGCTTGTGTCCGTAAGGTACTGTGTTCTTGGGGGCCACATCGGCCACCGGTGGAGGTGGTGGTGGTGGCAGTGGCTGCGGCAATTGCAGAGGAGGCGGCTGGTCTGTTACTGTGACGGCTGTGACTCGATCAGGCTCGACGGGATTGTTAATCTCCGTGCTGTATTCTGGTAGTTTAGCGGGTATATGGGCGACTCCTTCATCGATTGGTTCTGCGGGCGGAGGCGGAAGCTGTGGCGGGGGGTTGTGGAAATACCTCCGCGGGTCCTCCGGAAACAGCAGTGACGGATGATACTCCCCCATGTTGGGCAGCCATCCCTCTGGCTTCTGTAGTCTTTGGTTGACACCATAGTTGTTTGGGTTCGGTGATTCCTCCATATTGGCCCGTGACGAATCCCTGCGAAGACACGGATTACATTAGGTTTTCAGAACGCCAACTCGATTTATCTCACATCGCTAGCAAAGGTCACCTAAGCAATTAACAAATCTTTAGGCCCATCGCTAGGGGCGTTGTAATAAACTGGATCTGGCGATTTCTTGGTATTAATTATACATACACGAGTGCAGGGAATGCACATAAGGTGGCCTCTGTCCCAGGTATCGAGGGATCATCACCGATTGTGTATGCGGGGCTTGGATAAACTCTTGGCTGTTGACACTTATCAGACATATTTACATAGGTTTGTACGTTACATACCAATATATGCAAGTACATACAGAACGCGTAACCGGGCCGGAAATATGGCTTTGAAGTCTCGCCTGCCCTCTTGCACTTCCGCCCCACCGTTCACCTGAGTAAGGACTCATCAAAACAAATCGGACGGACAGAGTTTTAATCGGCAAGACTAATTAAATTATTTATATATATGCACACCAACTAGCTGAGGCGAGTTTTTTTTCTCTACAATTACATCGTACTATTTCGCATTTCATTTAGTTTCTTTTCTTTTCGTACGTACATTTACATAAAGCCGGTGAATTTGATTTTTAAGCGACCGAATTAACAACACAGGTTCTTAATTATTGTTATTTCATACATATGGATATATTTTTCTATATGCACTCTCGGTAGGTTCTTCTGATTGGTGTTCGCGTTTGAGATTCTCAGTTAATCATGCCCGACACTTGCTTCTCCGGGGCAAAGCTCTTGGATTTGTTTTTATATAAATTTTAAATATTATTCTCGGTTAATTTCTCGCTGTTTTCAACATGTATATTTGTATATTTTATATGAACAAAAGTCCTGCCCCGGGTACACGGTCAGACCGCATGATGTGGATCTGGGTTATCGACGACACACGATACGATAGTATCGAATTTTGTAAAAATATCGATACCGATTGTTGAGGCTTTTTCTAAATTACCATCCCTGAGGAATAATCCTTGGGACGAACTATGGGGGGGAATTCATGGTAAAAGAAGATTGGTCTCGTCAGAAAAAAGTAGTCCCTTAACTATATAGGTTGTCCTTAGAGGGATAATTGCCCATAAGAGTTCAATATATTGTTTGTATTAACATTTTTAATGCGGGTTTATGCGGAAATTAATCTTATTTTAAAAATAAAATGATAAATCGAGATTAATATTTAGGTAGGACAATAGGTATGTTCACTATTCTTTAGAAGGAAATTAAAGAGTCCAATTTATTGTTTATATTTACATTTTTCATCATGTTAGAAATACATTTTTAATGGGTTTATGCTGAAATTAATGATAGTTAACAATTAAAATGATACATCTAGATTAATATTTAGACATCAACAATTTTGCATTAACATTTATTGATCTAATTTGATCATTCCCTCTATATATTTTCTTATCTTATCTCTAAATTGAAGAGGAGTCGGATGATCATACTGGCCACCATGGCCAATTGACCGCATTGAGCCAAGGTAGCTCTCCACATTGTCCTGGTGAAGACGGCTGGTTGCTATGTAAATCATTTCGTACTTGTTGGATAAATATTCATACAAACCATCAAGGGATGCATTGTTGACTAAAATGCCTATTTGGAAGGGCAGCTTATCGCCTGTTTCAGTCATCTCTGTGCGCATAATTTCCGACATTTTAGCCAACGTGCCTTGCTGGACTTCGATTTGCCTGCCATATGCCTGTGGTGAGTCGGTGGAATTCAGTCTAGACACCTTTGAGTTGAAGACATCGAACCAGTCATTGAAAAGTTCAAAGAAATCTGCGGTTTCGAGTGCGTTCTCTATAGCATATCCAAACTCATGGCATTTTCTAATGGAGGTGGCTGTATTGCTAGATATCAATTGTGGTACCAATTTGTCGTTTTGCGAGCAAACATTTACGTGACTCTCGTTAATCTTTAGTTTCACAGAAACACCAGACTTGACATAGTTTATTGTCTGTTTCACTGTCGTCCTTCTCAGTTTATGGCCGTTGATGTCTAATCCTACGTTGATGTAGTGATTGTGAACCAATTTCATTAGATGAGTGGTGTCCGAAAAAACGAATATTTTCAATTGTTGATCCGCTGGGTGACTAAACCACGACTTGTTTGCTAAAACGAAAAATTAACTTTGATTTCTTGTTTGTATTAGTATAACAAACTTACTTTCCGATATGCCAAGCTCTCTCCACAGTCTCTGATTTTCCTCGCTCAAATCAGAGACAATGGCTACTACGGGATAATTTATCCTGTGTAACTTCATTATTATTGTATTTAGAGTATCCACATCCATTCGAGCATTGAAACCGTAGTAAACTGGCTGCTTCCAGGATTTCCTCAAGCCTCGAACGGTGGCCAGCTGCACAAAGTTACTTGGTTCATTTATAACATCCTCTGAACCAGTAAACTCGGAAGCAGCAGCTAGCTGCATTTTATCCATGGACAAAACGCACAACCTATCCATTTGGGACATTTCCTCGTTTTCCATGAGGTCCAGCACGACATCAAGGGTACCTGCATTGATTTTAACTTCCGCCAACCATCTAAATATTGTTGCCCTGCTTGGCAAGGGAAATCCTTTCTCATATAGGTGATTGTATGTACGAGGTCCCACGGAGTGAAGGCAGATAGCCGCAGACATGTCAGTTGCATTAAATGTGGATCTTTTCCCTCCACTCTTTAGTATTTTTATTTGGGTCTGGGTGAAAATGTTGCCTAGAGACTTTTCCAACTTCTCATACTCCTCGAGCTGCTGGCGCAAAGAACGCAGTTCCTTCTCCATTGATAGATTCTTCTTTTTCATGATCTCGTTGCCCATAAGAGTGGTACGATTAATCACTTTTTCGCTAGATAACAATTAGAGTCTTGTTAGGAATTAGTTACTCATTTAAACGCTTTAAACTTACTCTGTTTGCGTGCTGCAATTGGCGTAGCCTAATTTGGCAATCTTTGATTCAGGCTCGGACTCCGCCTGTGGAACAGCATCGTTGTTAAGTCTCCTCCTTTTAACGACGTGTCCTTTTCTCTCTGTCGACTTCCACTGTGAGGCATCAAAATGCGTTTCGCAAAGTTTTGCATTCTCCCCAAGGCTGCACCCAAGGATTTTCTCCCACAATGATCTTCTAACAAAACACTTTGGTGGTCTTATAAATTTGACACCTGGCACGTGCTTCCGGCAATACTTGCAATAAGTCATTTTTACATTAAGGGTTTAACATAGAACCTTCAAAGAGAACCACCTTTCAGGAGAATTGATTGAGCATTAACGGACTAAAAAACAAATAAGTACGCTGTGACCACTTTTCACTTCTTTCCAACCAATTTTATAGGGCAAAATCTTTGGGATCAAGGTTTCTATGGACTTTGATTTTAGTTATTTCGTTAAGAGGAAAGTGTATTAAACATAGGTCTTTCGTGACTTCTCTGTAAAACTCCTTATTGTTGATAATTTTTCCGGCTCATTGACAATTATTTGTTTTGCTTTCAAAAGTAAACTAACGATGGCACTAGGCACTAGTGGTGGGCGATAAACATCGATAGGAAGGCCCATGTGAATTCAAAAATTAAATTTATGAGGGGTTTAATTATTAATAAATGAATTTTATATTATTAAATTTCTAAGAAATGTTTATAGATATTCAAAAACCAATTGATAACCCAAGACTCCTCTTTAGAATCCTAATTAAATAATAATAAAATAACGAGAAAAAAATGTAATCCAATTTTTAATATCTTTAAATTTTCAAATGTTGGCATAATTGTTAATTTTAAAATATTTTTTTTCCCAAGTTTTGATTTTACCAAAAATATATAAAAACGTCGTAAATATTAGAGGTAGAGAAACAACGATGCATCGATGTTTTTAAAATATTTCCATTTAGTTGGTATTAAAGGACAATACAGGATATGTTTCCACTAACCAACGGTCACACTGCAAGGATATTAGTTTCTAAGGTTGTGTTTTTCCTCATAAATAATTGTTTTGTGATATTTTCGTCCTCGAATGATGGTAAGTGTTCATTTATTTTCAAAATTATCCTGAAAAGCAGTTTCGTTTCCGTTCCAGTGCCACATATCAAACTGTAGTACCCTGAAAATAGTGCTGGCCTTCCTGACGGTCAACATTTTTTGGCTCTTCAAGGTGTATCCACCGGCTCCACCCACGAAATGTCAATTGCCGGAGCCAACTCCTCGAACGCCAACGGCTGCCGAATGTCCCTAGCATCCGGATATCGCCTATGCGCTGCTGCAACCGCTTACCCACTTGGACAGCATGTTGGCTCCGAATAACACTGCAACGCTGGCCTTCGACAACGTCGATCTGAGCTACGGGCGCTGGGACAATCAGCAGCTATATCGGATCAAGGACTTTGCCCTACTGGGTGAGCAGTATATGGATTCGCCGGAGGCCAATCTGGTCTGCCTAGCCACGCAGACCTCGGTGGAGCGTCTCAACTCGCTGCCGCAGGTGGCTGCCAATTGGCAGGGCAAAATGTCGGTGGCCGTGTTCGCTGCTGGGCACGAGGAGTTCGTTATCCTGCAGTACTTTGTCACGTATATGCGCCTTTGTTTCGCCAACATACGTGAAAATGCCACCTTTCATTTGCTGACGCCGCGGGATTACGATAAGCTGCCCAGAGTGGCGGCCATTCCCTTGAATATGAAGGGCAAGTTCGATTGCCAGTATCCGGATAGGACGCTAAAGGCATTGCTCAAGTTCCGGTCGCTGAGAACGCTGCAGTGGCGGCAAAGGAACACATATCCCCAGAACCACATGCGGAACTTGGCCCGTAAGGGCTGTCAGACGAAGTACGTCTTTCTGACCGACATTGACATTGTTCCCAGCACGAACAGTGTCCCCCAGCTCAACCAGTTCTTCAGGACGGCAAATTGCTCAAAAAGCTGCGCCTACGTTATACCCACCTTCGAGATAGATGTGCGGGCCACGTTTCCGCGCTCCAAGAACGGCCTGGTGCGCTTGATTAGAAAAGGTCTGGCCAGGCCGTTCCACGAGAAAGTCTTCATCTACAACCAATATGCCACCAATTTCTCGAAGTATGTCCACAAAACTAAAAGCTAATCGGTTGAGATACTTAATTATTTTTTTTTATTCAGATGGTTGTCTACAAGCTCAAACGAGACGGAGGTCTCCGTTAGCCACATCGTAACCAACTTTGAATTCCTATATGAGCCGTTCTACATAGCGGTGGACACTGCACCTGCACACGACGAAAGATTTCTGGGCTACGGGTTTACCAGGAACTCCCAGGTGTATGAGATGCATATAGCTGGATACCAGTTCTATGTCCTGTCACCCGTTTTCACTGGTCACTGGGGTCTGCAGAGGAAGCAGGCGAGACCGGCTTGGCGGGAGCAGCAGAATAATGCTAATCGCAGGAAGTTTGATGTTTTCAAGAGCGAAATATTTGTGCGTTACAAAAACGATCCACGCCAGTTACTGAAGGCAAAGAAGAATCAAATTATAGTGAAATAAAAAGGCATTATATTGACTAGCATTGAATATTATTTTGTTAGATTACGGCTATCAAACTTTAAAGTTCATAGATGTTAATTATATGGTATGTAATGTAACTTAATTGTTGAGCAAAAAGGATTTTACTTTTGAGTAGGGGAAATTGATAATGTAGCATGATATGGGCGGGGTACTTTGAACTTCCTTTCGGATCTCTTTGACGACATTAAGGTCTCTCTTGAGCTGTACTCGAATGTGGGCTTTTCAGGATACAAACAGATGCCCATGGAGGCAACCAAGATGTCTAGATGCACCGCCTTTATTATAAGCGATTCATCGAGGATTCCTTTTTGGAGGACGAACATAAATTTTGATAATGGCCATGGATGTCCCGTTCCAAAGAGAGACATTATTGGATGAAGGACGTCCTCTTCGACACTGAAGGCTGGGCCGGCATCCTGCCCAGGGGCCTGATCAAGGCAAGGCTTAATACTAAATTTGGTGGCGCCCTTGAGATCATCGTCAGTATAAAGGATAAACTCTTCTGAGCTAAATAATATATTTGCATCAGAATGAAATGCGTCTTTAAAGCTTAAATTTGTAGATTTGAAGTGGAGTTCGACTAAATTTATTTAAAAACTAGCTAAAACTGTAAAATTGTAGATAAATCCCATTTAGGCACTTCCAAATGATCCTTAATTGATTCAGTCGTTCCTACTAGGCCTTATAATCAAATGTGTGGCTTTGGAACGAGCTGGTGGCTATTGTCATACCTCGTTTCACGCGAAAGTGGAGGCAAGGCGGAGAAGACAAGGATGGTCCGCGTGAAGCAAAACAATGGAGGCCAAATGCCGGAAGAGATGAAGCGCAGGCGCTGGGCTTGCGCCGTCTCCTCGGGAAGCTTGGAAAGCCATCGCAGGATAAATAAAAGCTCAGTACTTCGGCCAGCTTTCCGCAGTCAGTGGCAGACCGAAGGCCCAGCGAAATATTGTGTGTGTGGAATCCAACCCTGCGCGCAATGAGGAATAGTTATTGTCATCATCTGAGCCACAGTAAATTCGGGAACAACGGAAAGGCATCTGACCTGTCGCTATCGCTGTCCCCCAGATGCTGGGCAGCTAAAAACTCGATCCGGCTATAAATCCAACGACCAGGTAAGCTCAACATCCTTTCGCCTTGGGGAAAACAGCGTTCCAAGGCTGCGCAAGGAGTCCTAGTCGCTGTGTTTTCGATTTTTCGTCCTGTCGTCGGCACCAGAACGGACACAAAGAGAAAAAAAACGCGAAGAATGGGGGAAAACAAGTAGGAGAAACGGCAACGACTGACCCAAGACCCACCCAATCCGAATCATGCGACCCGACCCTAGCCGCAAGCTGTTTGCTCAATTAAGTATCAGTTTTCCAGAGACAGACGCCACAATGGATGGCCCTTCGTCCTTCGCATTATCCCAGATCCCCGGTATCAGTATCCCCCCCACATAACGCAGTATTGCGCCATGCACTCGTTTCCATTTCCATTTCCATTGGCCAACGATAACTGTCCGTATGGCGATGATGCCATGGCATGGCATGGTGCTCCATCACCGCCCCGGGGAGGCGCTGTCTCCTCGATATCGATATCTTGGCTATCCTGGGCCCCCGCATTCCAGTTGGTCCTGTGTGTTTGTTTGTTTGTTTACCTGTTTACCTAGGCGCCCTTCGATGTCCACTAATTGCGGGCCGAGTGTCGACGGGAGCAGCCAATTAATATCCAATTTGTGTAATTGTGCCGCACCCGTGTCGGCCGTTGGATAGCCCAAAAATCCACAAAGCACTTTGCCCCAGCAAGCACTTGAGCGTAAAAAACGCAGCTAAAATATTCATTTCGCTTGGCGGCAAACGCCTCTCGATAATCGCAAAGAGCTCACTTGCCGAGTGATTTTATGGCCAGCAATTCGACTTTAATACACTGCGAAACAAATTGAGGATAGAAATGTCATTTCGAGGAAGGAATGCACAGTGGATATTCGGATAGAAAATATAAGATTAAAATTTCAGAAAAAGATAAATATTTCTCTGGCAGAAATCTTACTTAGTTGTCTCTAAAAATATTATAACTAGGATCAAAGGTTAATAACTTCAGTGACAAGGGGTCTGTATATATATTTCATTCTTATTATTTCAATATTCTTCTAAAAACCAGAATATCATTGAATTTAGACAACTGTTTTCCGCAGTGCTTATTTATGCTGATGGCCGCAAAGTGGGTATCGTTTTAATCAGAGTGAACCGGGTGGCTTGGCATGGGGGAGAAGGACATTTAAATATCGTAACCATTATCCAAAGTGGAGATACTCGCGAAAGAAACCACCAGAAAGTGGTGGGAGGCTAAGCCGGGGATAAGTAGTGACCTTGCTCGCGTCAATTCCGATGCAAACAGGGTGCACTTGTTTAAGCTGTTTTCCTTTTGCCAGTTGTTGTTGTTGCTGTTGTTGACAGGACCTCTGGTTCTAACAGCGGTAGGAAGATCATGTGCCTGCTTTTATTATCTGGGTCATCCCCACTATTTATAGACATCACTGCCCGAATATGGTGGAGGAGCTGCAGCAAATAAATGCACATCGCTTCAATCTCACGGCCAAGTCAAGTTTTTAATGTCCCTGTTTACGACAGCAGCAGGGGAAAAACAATTTACTGCAGCCTGTCACGGCCACGTAACCAACTGTCCGTCCGGGCTGTAAAACCGGGTAGCGAGTCCCAATCCCAGTCGCAATCCCAGCCCCAGACCCGCCTTGTTAGCTGTCTGCTGTGAAATTAATGAGAATGTCAAAGGCGCCCTGCCATTGCTCAAAGTCAAAAGTGTCGATTAAAGATTAAGCTGGCGTCCATTTTAAAGCAGACTCGCCCGATATTCCGCGATATATTTATAATTTATGGATCATGTTGGATGTTGTACTCTGGCTGAACTGTTGCTGGAACCAGTAGCACTCTCTTTTAAATGGAAATCAATATCGTAGCTATTCCTATTCATCCCATTAAACAAGGTTTTTAATTCTGTATATCGATCTTCATTGCCAAAAATCAACATTATGAAGCCTGATTGCATTCTGGAAACTTTGCTTCAGGCTTTCCAAACATTATTCAACCAGATTCTGGGCTCCAGGACATTTTCCCGACCAGCAAGTCAAACAATTGCCAGGCGCAGAAATGAATCGCAAACACCGCCAAGACGCTGCTTGTGCGGGAGGTTGACTGGTTGGGCGCCTTTTGGGGGCTTCTTTGTAGTTTCGCAGCCTTCGGGCTGCTGATGAGTCAGTCTCCAGGATTTGCCTGCATCCAATCAGCAGGCATCGCGAACGAATCTGCTTGCCGAGTCAACACCGCCAATTGGCAGTTTATTGTCGGCAAATATGCAAAGATAAATGTTTGCCGCGCGATTAACATGCGCCGGAAGAACGATAAAGCCCACCTTGGTCCGCTCCGGCTCCTGTTCCTGCTCCTCGCTTATCAATCAAAAGTTGATGGGTATCGGTATGCAAATACTCGAAACCCTCTCGCGCACACATGGCTGCCTTAATTGGGATGCACACGCCCAAGGAGCCACCTCCAAGGACGTGTGGGAGGTTCGTCCGAAAGGTAATGAGCTTCCTTGGCGCAATAAGCATAATAATAGCTTGCCTGCTCTCACATACATACAAGCGCACTTTGTGCATCTCAGATCTTTGCTTGAGTGGCTTTTGTGCAATCTGCATAATAATGAGAAAGTAGGCGGGTGGGCGGAAGGACGAATGACGAGGCGTGATACGGGGTTTGCCCGAATTTTTAACAACTTGTCGCGCTACTGCGGTACAAATAATTTTAACGACTTGAATTTATTCTAAATTTCAAAAAATTCTTTAAATTGCTCTATTAATTATGCCATTGTGTCACTCATACGTGCCATTTTGCTATCATCTAATTACAGCTCACTGCTTTTGGACCACCAACCAGGTAAAATTGCGCTGTAAACTGAAAGTCACTTTAAAGATTAAACCAAATCAGAACCATTGCATGCCACTCCTTCCAAGAGAAGGGAAGAGCTGAAACCTAAATGTTCGTTGAACCAATTCCCACTAATATCGGTGTGTTTATTACTTTACTTGTCTTTTGTTTTGGTATCCAAATCACTTCTGGTCTAGAATCGTATTGTAAATCTGTTGCTATCCCTCTTACTATCTCTCTTGCTCTCTCTTCCTGTACATTCTTCCGTAATTGTTCCATTCACGTCGATGTTGTGATGAAATGCAGCAACATCCAATGCCTGTTCCAATAGGAAAGACACCGAATTAGAAAAGTAATCAACCATAAGCCGGCGGAGGAGCACAGTCCGGTGGCCCCCTCCGTTCGAGATGGCGCCCTTTAAGCTGAAGTTCCGGATGGGCAGCTCGCGCAGCACCTCGCAGGAGCACGATCCAGATCCGCAGGTGAACGAAGCGCTCCTGGGCACCCAGGAGCAGCAGAATCAGCCGCAGCCCCTGCAGGAGGCGGTGGAGGCCAGCAGCAGCTCCAGCCTCGATCTGGCGGATTGCAGCAGTCTCGGCCAGATGAGCAGTGAGCGCAAGTTGTTGCTGCCGCCCACCAGCAACAGCATGCGTTTGGGTAAGGACGACACAGTGGCACCAAGGACAATATAAAAAATAATAATAATAAATAAATAATTCTTGCTATTGTTTTTCTTTATATTGTCTTTGGTAGACCGATCTCTACACACAGAAGAACGCCATCCGAAATTATGTTACATTGGTATTCTTTGGGGTATATAATTTAAACATTAAATCAGGCCTTTAATTTATAAATTTGGGCTGGAAAATGTGCATGCAATCAAAATTCAATTTAAATAAAATACTTTTCGATGGGCGACAATTCTGTCTTGATTTTCAATATCTCTGTGTAATAAAAAGCATGTAATACCCTATTACCAACAACTTGTTAGATATCCTCTTTTATTCCTGAATAAGTTCTTATCCAAGCACCTATTCTTCCTTTGTTGCACACAACCCCTTCCCATGGCTCCTAAATAAAGTCAGCGTTAAACTGGAATTAATAGCTTAACTTACACCTGAGATACTTTATATTGATACATTTATTGCAGGCTACCTTAACCAGAGCCGCACTCCGTGCATCAACGAATCACTCACCGATGCGGATGCGGACAACGTGCCCACCACCCCACCGCCTTCCTACGAGCATGTGCTAGAAGAGGTGGGTTTCCTCAGGATTTTAAGCAGCCAACTTGGAGATCATAATAATAAATGCTACATCTTTTTAGAACACTCGGTTGTCCCAGCACCAGCGCCAGTTATCCCTGGATAGCGCCACACCCAACCAGAACAGCCGGCGCAGCTCGGCCAACAGCTCGCGTCACAGCGCCGCCCAGCTAGGTGCCGCCTTGGAGCAGCTGGCCGGGAATGGGGGCGGCAGCATCTGCAACGACCCAGACTGCAGGCAGAACCTGAACCAGAACTACGCCAGCTGCAACGCAAGTCACTGCAGCAACATCAGCAACGGCAACGGCAACAATACCAGCAGCCACAGCGGCAGCAACCACAACAATAACAACGACGGGGAGGAGATCATCGAGGGAGTCACTGAGCTGGAGCTGCGCAGCGACAACGAGGAGCAGCTGAGCATCAACGAGTTCCTCTTTGAAACGGAAATGGCGGCGTCACCTTCGCGCTGCACGGATGAGCGTTATGGAGCAACGGTAGATGGTCAGGGGCAGAATCAGTGCTCGGATGACCAGTGTGCGCAGTGCAGCGAGGAGCGAGAGGGCGAGGGTGGCTGTAAGTCTACCTATGACGGGGACGCGGCCAGCACCAGCAGCCAGGCGGCATCGGCGGCAGCAGGCGGGGGACACAACTTTTACGATCCCCTACTGAATCGAGGCAGCTATGCCAACTATGCCAACGAAGGTTAGATCAACACAGACTTTGAGATTGGATGTTGTCTAAAGGGGTTCTCGTCCATAGGTGGCAATGCGAGTTCTAGTTCCGGCAACCAGTGCCAGGAGGCCTGCTGCACCGGGTCCGCCTCGGGATCAACTGCCTCACGGAGTGGTCAGCGGGGCCAGGGTCAGCAGCCCAGTCGACAGACCAACCTGCTCACGCCCGAAATGATGAGCAACAAGACGAGCAAGGAGATCTACAAGGACCTGGCCAAGCAGTGGGGCATCACCTGCAAAATGTCGGAGAGCTGTCGGTGCATGGACTGTCAGAGCCACTACTTTGACTGTGACTACGATGATGTAAGTAAGATTACCCGGAAATTTTTTAAGTATTACTAAGTCGATTCTTCCAGAACGAGCACCAAAAGACGGACGGCGGACTGGGCGCTGGCACGCCCATGTTCATTAGCGAGGTGATGCACGGCTCCGGATGCAACATATTGTAGGGGGACTACGATTACCGGAGTCCCGGACAAGGATTTGCTGAACATCTACAATTATTTCTTTGTATATCGCATAAGTCTATACAGGCGATCGGCTAGGGGCAGGAGCCATTTCACGTTATTAGCACTGAATGTATGCACATTATTTTAAGGTAATGCTGCACTGATATATGTTTATTATAAGGAATCGAGGAGGGACATTTGTGCAATGCCGCCTTAGGGCTTTAAAAAAGTGGGGGATTATGGCAAAGGTATATTTTTGGTGTTAAAAGGAATCGCGAAGTCGGCATTTTTAACTCGCAGACGAACGAATTATGATAATTACTGATAGGCAATTACCCACCTTGCAGATGAACATTTAAATATCCTTGAGTGTGTTCTTTTTCTAGGGCCTTTGATCGCTTGAACGGTGAATATTAGAAATATTTTTGACCTCTTGATATTTTTTCCAAATTATACTTCCCCCCAAGGCTTGCCCCCCTTACCCCTAAATATGAATATGTATTTTTCTAAATGTACAGACGAATTGTAGAGGCATTCCAGTGCCATACGCAAACGGAATCTTTCCAATCAACGCTTTTGTACAAGAGGAGCCGCGGCCGGAGCTCTAGGCGTTTCCAAAACAACCTGCTAGAGTTCTAGGCGAAGTACACGCTACTAGTCAATGTTATTCGCATCGAGAAACCATATAGTTTAAGCAGGTCGGCACTTTTGTGCCTTCCTTTTGAGCCAAATCGGGAGACGAACGGTTCGGCAAGGGCAAAGAAATCGGCACATCTGGGCCAGAGTTAACTTCATCGAAATGTGCGTAGTCTGAAGGCTTACAAGGCCCTCTGATTGCCAATCGTGGAATGCTAAGACGCAGCTGGTTTCACTTGACAAATCTTCTTGGTTTTATCTTGGAAATAGCACTCAAATCGGACATCATCGATTCGCAACCAAAGTTGATTAGAAATCAGAGCACACGCGATAACATATAGAGAGCGAAAGCCGACTAAGTCTGTTAGCTGTTAGATGGTATTAGAGAATTACATGCATTTTAGACTTAAATTTGAAAAGGAAACACCCCGGAAGCATTCGAGGAAACCAATTAAATATGTATTCCAGGTCTGAGAGCCCGAAACTCGCATCAGCATAGAAATCTAAACTTGAAGGGATCGTAGGAATTGTTAGGATTGTATTTCGGGTTCTGAGAGAGGCATTCCAAGTCGGTCTCCTACGCTTTGGAACCCATACTAGGCAAGAGCATACAAAAAAAAAAAATAAATAAATGTACGAGTATATGTTAAACCCACTAAAGCTCGTCTCTGAATTCCACGGATTACAATTCCTCAAGAATGTCATCTCAATCCTGCGGGGGGTGGAACAATAAATGGGTGTCAAGCCAAGGACCCGACCACTTACATTCGGAAAGATCAAGCCAAGATTCTTACACAGATAGGACCACTTAATGCTGGGAACCGCCTCCCACTCATCGCAACCACTGGTCGGCACACCAGGCTTATAGATAGGGGCGTTGACTATGTTGGTATTGTCAAAATAGCAGGTCAGAAAGTAAAAAAAGCTGTGACAGGGCTAAGGATTAAGAATCATAAGGTAAGTCCACTCGTTGCCCACCTGCTGGAGTCCTTGGAACCCACGGCGATACCGCAGCCGAAGCGAGAGACACGATCGTTAATGATGATAGCGAGGTCATCGGCAGAAAAATTACTGAGAGAGATTTTCATTATATAATGCTTGCCGCTTTTTGGATTCGGTTCACCTGGTGGTTGTAAAGGCTTCAATGAATTTTTTGGGGTCCTCCACATCGCGGTGCGTCTTCCATATTCTTCTAAACACCCTACGTAACGCACCGTCTATGGTCAACTTCTTTTTAAGTGGGGCCGCCATCATTGCCGTGATCTCACCGACAAACGGAAACCGCAGTGTGGATCGACACTCGGTGTGCTTAAAGGATACCGTAGAGGCATGGACGCGGCTCAGGTAGGCCAGCTCATTGTCCCAGATAAGTCGCCGCATCCGTGTGGCACTCGGAAACGTCTTGTTTAACTTGGTAATGGCCTGGCCGCTCGCCATCATGTCACGGAAATTATTTAGCAATACCACCATATCCGTTTGAAGATTTCGGGTGTCCGGAATTATATCAACCAATGTGGTTTCGTTGTATGGAGGCAGTTCCTCTTCCAGGCGACACATGAAGTGCTTTAAACCGCCCAGATTGCAGACATGCGTCTTATTGTTGCAGTAGTTGTAGCAGGAAGCCAGCGCCAAGAGCATTGTCAATGGGAGTACGCGGTGAAGAATCATATTTGTCAATTATTTACTACGAATTTAAAGATAAAATGTGAGTCGATCTGACACTTGGAGAGTTGTGATGTATGTGTACCTAGATCTGTTACAATGAAAGTGCTATAGATTTTGTAAACAATTTTTATAATGTCATAAGTAAGGTGTCCTTGTAGAGTTTTCCTAGACAAAACCCGTGCACTAGTATGATGTGTTGGCATGTCCTGGCTCCAAGCTTGACCCAGCCCTATTCGGTTATAGCTTATGGATATACATAATTCTTTATCATTAGCAAATTATAGGTAAAGTCTCCTATATTTTTATTAATATACATATTTAGGTTTTTTGGTTCAAAATTCATTGGCTAATAGTATGCAAAATAAAGGTACGCTTGTCCTTGACTTTCAATCCTGCGGGATGAAACTATCAAACGGTCGTCATGCTAACAAAAGGCTGAGCTACTTACCTTTGGAAAGATGTCGCCATTATTCTCGCACAAATTATCCCACACACCTCTGACAGTCGTTTTCGAGTCACCGCAACCGCTGGCCGGCGGACCAGCCTCGTAGAGAGAGGAGTTGATAATGTTGTTGTGGTCAAAATAACAGGTCAGAAAGTGGCAATGGCTGGAAAAAGGATGTGCTTTAAGGATTTACTGTAATAAGGCGAGCACCACTCGTAACGCACCCGAGGGAGCCCGCGTAAGGACAATTGGAACCCACGGCCACACTGCAGCCAACGCGTGAGACACGATCGTTGATGATGTTGGCAAAGTCTGCGGCCAAGAAAGCGCTGTGGAAGATCGTGATTGTATCGAGCTAGGCGCTCGTTGCTTTGGTTTCGGCTCACCTGGCGGCATCGAATTGATTGATGAGGTTATCGGGGCTCTCCACCTTCCAGTGCTGCTTCCACATAGATCTGAACGCATTCCTCAGCACCTTCGACACGGTTAACTTTTTTACAACGGGGGCAGCCATTATGGCCATGACCTCGCCGATATCCGGAAACCGCAACGTGGACCGGCACATGGTGTGCTTAAAGGATACCGTAGACGCATGGACTCTGGCTAGGTAGGCGAGCTCATTGTCCCAGATAAGTCGCCGCATCCGCCTGGCACTCGGAAACGTACGGTTGGCGTTGTTCATGACCTCGCCGCTCGCCAAATGGTTTCGGAAGTCATTGAGCAGTCCCAGCACCTCCTTTTGGAAATGCTGGGTGTCCGGGACGGTACCTTCAAATTTGGTGCCCTCGTGGGAAGGCAGTTCATCGTCCAACTGACAAATGAAGTGCTTGAAGCCCAGTTCATTGCAGGCATGCGTCTTATTGTCGCAGTAGTTGTAGGCGGAAACCAGCGCGAAAAGAATTGCCAGTGGCAGTAGGAGGTCAAAAATCATTTTAGCGTACTACAAATTTGAGGAGAAAATTCTAGTTGCTCTACCAAATGACTGGACACATGGAGAGTTGTAATGAATGTGTACCTAGATTTGTAATAATAAAAGTGCACTAGGTTTTTTGGATTAGTTATGATATTTTTAAACATTAATTTTTCCAAAAATTATCATAAAAACAAGAAAGGAAGCTAACTTCGACACGCCGAAGTTTGTATACCCTTGCAGATTGCAATTGGATCACTAAGAATCGAGCCATTCGGGTTAAATAATTGAAATAATTCGAATTGAATTTCATGCATTTTTGACAGAGTTGTGAACCTTTGAAAATTAGTTTCTTGCTCATTTTTGATTAAACAATTATTTAAAAATAACAGGTAAGTATTAAAGCAAAACTAAGTAGGCAGTTTTGTTAGGCTTAGAATAACCAACTTAGAACAACTTTCCGAAATGAATTTCATGCATTTTTGACTGAGTTATGAACCTTTGAAAATGAGTTATTTTCCCCAAAAATAAATCGCACCATTTTTGCAAAAATATGTAAGGGGTACCATCATTAAAATTCTAAAAAATTGAGAAAAAATGAAATTGAAAAGAACCCTAAACGTAGTATGCAGTTTTGTTACTCTTAGAAAAGGCAATTCTGAACAGCTTTCCGAATTGAATTTCATGCACTTTTGGCTGAGTTATGAACCTGAAATTAGTTTTGTTTCTGAAAAAATATCAAAATAAATCGCACCCTTTTTTTAAATTTAATTGCAGCAAGCTGCCAGGAACTAAAAGCGGGTGCCGAAGGCGAGACAGAGAGCGTTGGCAAGGAGGATCAGGACGAGGAGGAGCAGAAGTGGACCAAGTGCCACCAAGACCGAGTCGAAAACACTGGGAACGACCTCCGACATTCCCACATGCCTCACCTTTTCTTCTTTTATTTATTTAAAGCTGAAATAAATAATAAACCTTAAAACATGTGTTATTTTTGAGTTATGAGGAGGATGCGGTTTTTTTTGGGTGGGATAATTTAAACAGGCTCAATGGAAGGGCATTCTTGCGGTGGAAAATGAAAGAAACATCAAAGCAAAATAGCTAGATGAGCATCACTGATGGAGATGAGCATCACTGATGCAAATGAGCAAATTTTTTCTTTCGATTTGGCCGCTTTCCAAACTGGGGTAACAGGCGAACAGAAACCAGCAGCAAGCAACTGAAAACTGGTATAATCTGTTATAAAAACTTTTGGGCAAAAATAATAATTGGTATAAACTGTTATATTTCATTTTATGCATTTATACCTATTTGTTGCCGACAACAACAGCTTGATGGCAACAACAACCCCTTTACAACAACATCCCTGCAGCAGCCCATACAAATTTCTGAAATTTTCCATGCAAATTGCCCGTTTCCCAAATTGGGGTAACAGGCGAACAGAAACCAGCAGCAAGCAACTGAAAACTGGTATAAACTGTTATAAAAAGTCCAAGTTTCGAACCATTGATCTTGGAGTAAGCGAAGACTCAAACCAGATGTGACCATATTGTAAATTTTTTGGCTAAAATGTTGCTTAAATGCACCTGGGCACACTGAAACTGACTTTGCATCAGTGATGCTCATCTCCATCAGTGATGCTCATCTAGCTATATTGCAATATTGGGAGGCTATAAAATCGGGCTTAATGGCAGTGATGCTCATCTATCTATTTTGTCCCAATAAAGAAATATAGCTAGATGAGCATCACTGCCATTAAGCCTGATATAATGCCTCCCAATATTGCAAAATAGCTACATGAGCATCACTGATGCTGATTTTATAGCCTCCCAATATTGCAATATAGCCAGATGAGCATCACTGCCATTAAGCCCAATTTTATAGCCTCCCAATAAAGAAATATAGCTAGATGAGCATCACTGATGGAGATGAGCATCACTGATGCAAAGTCAGTTTCAGTGTGCCCAGGTACATTTAAGCAACATTTTAGCCAAAAAATTTACAATATGGTCACATCTGGTTTGAGTCTTCGCTTACTCCAAGATCAATGGTTCGAAACTTGGACTTTTTATAACAGTTTATACCAGTTTTCAGTTGCTTGCTGCTGGTTTCTGTTCGCCTGTTACCCCAATTTGGGTAACGGGCAATTTGCATGGAAATGTTCAATAATTTGGATGGGCTGCTGAAGGGATGTTGTTGTAAAAAGGTTGTTGTTGCCTTCAAGCTGTTGTTGTCGGCAACAAATAGGTATAAATGCATAAAATGAAATATAACAGTTTATACCAATTATTATTTTTGCCCAAAAGTTTTTATAACAGTTTATACCAGTTTTCAGTTGCTTGCTGCTGGTTTCTGTTCGCCTGTTACCCCAGTTTGGAAAGCGGCCAATTTGAATGAAAAGTTTTGCTCACTTGCATTAGTGATGCTCATCTCCATCAGTGATGCTCATCTAGCTATATTGCAATATTGGGAGGCTATAAAATCGGGCTTAATGGCAGTGGCAAATTTTTTCATTCGATTTGGCCTGCGACCCTATAAACCATATATATTCTTGATCAGCATAAACAGGCGATTCTTTCTAGCCATGTCCGGAAAGAAAAAATTTTTTGTTCATTTTTTTCAAAAATTGATAAGGGGTTACATCATTAAAATTCTCAAAAATCGACCAAAAATTCGATTTTTTTAAATTAAAAATTTAAGATGCAGGTTTCTTAAGCTGGAAAAAACTAGCATAGAAATGCTTACAGAATTGATTTTGATGCTTTTTTGGCTTAGTTATGATTTTTTTAAACTTAAATTTTCCCAAAAATTTTCATAAAAAATATGGCGTATTTCCTTTCAAAAATAATTAATATTTCCGGTCTTCTTGAAGGGAATTATGTAAAAACCTTTACATCGTCTAGGGTAAGCTCAATCTACTAATACCACCTATCCTGGATCCGAGCTACAAATGTTGTATAAAAGCCCTTATCATTAGCTGACAAAGAGGTAATTCTCCCAATAAAAGTAATCTATAGTTTTGTCAAAATTATTTTTATTTGTATTTTTTTTGTTAAGGGTTTGTTATTTATTCTTTTTTTTTTAGGAAGAGCTGTCTCTAAATTCATTTGGTAACAGTATGCAAAGTTATGTAATAAAATGGCTTGAGCGAAGGTTAAGTGCCTGAATGGCCTTAGTGAATTTTAATTTCAATTTTGTCGTTTGCAAAATATTATACAGAGAAGGGTATTTGGGGGACTCGAAACGCTAAATTAGATGGATTGAACAAACAAATCAATAAACTAGTTAACATAGAGCAATAGGTACGTGGTTCCGTTCTCTTATTTATAAAAATATCTTGAGTGCTTTTCCTTTCTACCAGGATCTGCTATCAACATGTCGCGTAATCAATCAATAGTAACATCTCAACAAACTAATAAGCTTTGGGACTAGGCGGGGCGTAGCTTGGGTGGGTGGGATGTCCTTGCGAATCGTAGATTACACTTCTGTCCCTTTATTTTGGGGTGGAGTCAGTGAGTGAGGTTCCTGCTGTATATCCTTTCCGGTAAAATTTCAATAAAAAATTGTAAGTTTACAACCCGTACCAGTTCTGTTTCGATTTATTATTATGTTATGCTTCTGCTCTGTGTTAGGCATTAATGCTTAGCTCGGTTCAGTGAATTGAAATCGCTTATGTTACGGCTATAGGTGTAGATATTAACTATGCAAGTTTCGGTATATAGGCTTGGCTGCTGCTCCAAGAACTCCGCCATGCACTCTGATTTGCTTCTCGGAAATACGTATTGTGAATGGAACTATTAAGTATATAAGGTATATAATTATCAGTTGATTTCCTAGAAAATTTCCAAGTTCGAATTTCACTCTCTCGTTCTCTCGCATATATAAATTTCAATATGATGAGTTGTATATATGTATATATATAGATGACTTACACGGGGAGGCACGTAATTTGAAACAGAACAGCGCCCTTAACAATGGGGAAACAATCTATAACTAATTAAAGCGTGTGTGTTTACAGGTAAAGGGGTAACTAAGTAAGAATACTTCCTATTTACAGACGATTCGCTCCGATCCGATCCAATAACAAAGGGGAGGGGGGCCCCATCTTGGGACAACTACGAGACTAGATCTTGGAGACACGCACAGGCTTTTACATTGTATCGTATAAAAAATATATCAAGCTATACACTGTGTTTGTATCACTAACGGGGGCGAGTGCGGCCTAAAGGCCCAGATAGCCTAAACGCAGGTCGAGGATGCGTGCGACACGCTGGCGGACGCTGCCGCCGCAGCAGCGGCAGCTGCCGACGATGATGCGGCCGTGGCGGCCTCTAGATTGAAGTCCTTGCTGCGGCAGCACATCTCGCAGATGCGCTTGGTGTCCGGATTGAGGAAGGTGCAGAAGCGGCAGCTCCACTCGTTCGGACTCGTTACGATCAGCTGCGGGGATACGGCCGGCGGTTGCTTGGGGACAGCGCCCGTGCGATTGCGCGTGCCAGATGTGCCCCGATTGCCGTCCACGTTGGCCGTCTTCAAGGCGGACTTGACCTTCTTTACGCCGGCGCTGCTGCTGTTTGGCAGCGGACTTGGTGCTGGAGCCTGCACTACTTTTGCCTCTACCCGTCGGCTCGAGCTAGGTTTTTTTTCCAGCGTTCGTGACCTCTCGTGGCCGTTCGGTTCGCCGCCGGCCCGCGTCGTTGATTTCGAGGGCTCGCGTCGCTTCTCCGTCGGTGGGGCGGTCCCACCGCCATTCGTTATGGCCAGCGAGTCGAGGTCCAAGCTCTGCACCAGCAAATCTTCACGGTCTCCCAAGTCCTTGTTATAGCCGGAGCGCTCCAGGTTCTTGAACACATAGTTCCAGGACTCGAAGCTGCCCACACCCTCCTTCACCTTTGGCATCAACGGCGGCGAGGGGTTGTCCAAGGTCACGAAATCATCCAGGCTGGCCGACTCGTAGCTGGTCATGTCCGAAATGGTAGTGGGAATATCACGTTCATTGCCCGATCTCTTCGCAGGAGCCGTCCGGCTCGCCCGCTCTTTCAATTCCTTGTGCATCTTGCGATTATTGTCCATGGGATTCTGGGTGGGAAGGGAGGTCTGTTAGATCGCATCG